TCCAGCAAATTGCAGTTCATAAGGCGATGCATACCTTCGCAAGATTTTGTCAACAAGTCACACTGCGAGAAGGGACGGTGTGGCTCCAGGCTAAGCCCCCGAACAGTTTCACCCTGGATTTGTTTGGGCTGGACTTTGGCACCCAAACTTGACACTGCGGTAGGACGAAAGTTTGACCTACTCCTTCCTTCGTCGAACACCGCCCCCCATTCCCCCACAGAATTCTATCAAACAGGACCAACCGGCTACTCCTCCGGAACATTAATCAAGTAGCATAATTTCAACACGGTTACAAAATACTGCGCTGGCCAGGCCACGTAAATGGCACTTTTCGGTACTCGTCCCGCTTAGTAATGTATTTGGTTCCCAGCAAATTCGAAGTACAGCTTCTCCAAATAAGTAGATCGTTACAAGGACCAGTGGCACCCAGCGCTTGCAACGTGATTTGATAGGGCTTAGGTGTAGCAAGCTCCGAACATGCCGTGGGGATCTTCTTCAGTTCACGTCGAGCTACAGAAAGCATCAGTTGCCACCCAAGATTGTCGATTGTTGAAATAGGCTGTGCTGCTGTACTTACTTACGCCTAACTCACTTTCGAGTTGTAAGGTAAATCAGGATTTAATTGGGGATGTTGTGGGTATCTTCTTGGATTCAGGTAGAGATAGAGCGAAAATCAGTTTGGATGGATAGAATGTCAGCATGTCACACGACACAACTGAGTCATGATTTCCTTTGTGATGTTTGCAGCCATGTCCAAACGTTCAATGACGAGCCTTTGATTGATTGATTCAGCTGGAGTCTGCGCAAGCATCAGTTGTTCGTGAACCAGCTAGTCCAGGTCATGGCAGGGTCGGCATGGAGTAGAGTGTGGCAGACGTTCAAGGGCCAATTAACTCACAAATTAATTGTGTTGGGCCTGAAGGGTCCAAGACGGCCCGATGCCGGGGCAATTAACTCCAGAGTTAAGCTTTAAAACTTGTTTTTCTTTGGGTTCACTGCCTTCCAGCCGTTTCTTTGCATTTCTTGCATGACAAGCTTGGCCCAGCCAGCAAGTAGGGTTTCAAGCCCCGTGAGATTCTGTCCGTGATGAACCATCGGCGCTTGCTCGTACTGAAGATCCAGCCTTGACAGTTGCAAGGCCGTCAAGCTGTCATTCTGACCTTACTTACCTTTGGTTAGTAGGGAATGGAAGAATGGTAGTAATGGTAATTATTAAATATAATTGTACCCCATTCCTCCATTCCCTACTAACCAAAGGTAAGCTTAAAGCTCATCCCTTCATCTGCCTTCTCCCCCGACTTGCCGCCACACGGGCTGGCCTCTTTCTCGCCGAGTCTCCTGGCATCAAGCCAGGGAACCGAAAGCTGCTGGTCGACTCCGCAACTAGGGCTGTTCTTGGGGGTACCATACTTACAGTTTATAGCTATGTATAACCCAACGTACCTCCGCATATAACTTATAACTATATATAAGCCAAAATGAGGTGCATGTCAGCTGTCCTGCTTTCGGTACTCGCCCTGCAAATTCGGGTACCGCGGCGCAAGCAGCCAAAGCGACGGGGGCTGTTCCTGACGGACAGGTAATCGGGGTCAACTCTTCGTGCACATCCGACCAGGGAAAGCTGCTTCACATGATGGGAGTTTCCGAAAATAAGGGGACCCTAACATAGCACCCCAAATAGTAGGATCCTTATTACAAGGACCCCAAAGTAAGGTACCCCTAATTTTCGGAAACTCCCATATCTTTGGCACTCGTTCCCGGTACACTGGCATCGCCTAACCTTACCCGCCACCTGGGGATGGGTCAACTGGGGATTACAAGCTGGCAGACCCTGCTTGCAGTTGCTTCGCCTTTCTGCTGAGCACCAAACGCAAACATGACCAGTAATGATCTGCAATGCGCTTTGACAGTTTATAAGGCTCAGCGAGCTCCTAAGCAGTATTGACTCCAATGCGCACTACGCCAAGCTGTGGGTCACTCGGCGGGGTCAGGCCTCGCTGGCCGAAGAGCTTTGCTTCTTTGCTGCAGCCAGGAACTTCTCCTGAGAGTCCAGTACCTGCAAAGCTCTCGGGCTCTACCGTTAGGCATGACATGAGGGTGAGGATCGTCGTTCCGGCGAGGTTGCCAGTATGGACGTGTCGTCATGCCAACCACTGCCGTCGTAGTACTGCCAAGAAGCCACCTGCGCTGTTGCTGTAGGATGTATTCGGCACAGCCTGTCGAATGGCCTTCTGGGGCGCTACTCCGTCGTGTGGCTGCGCAGACTGAATCGGGCCGAGCCGGTCAGCCAATTCCTGAGAACATGGGCGGAAGTTGCAGGTGCGGCCTGCTCCCTCCGTCAACAAGTCCTTTTTGGCCAGGTCTCCACGTCGCTGTTGGCAAAGCGCCAAAAACCATCTGGAGCTGGGGCGCTGCTGAAGAGCCAGCCTGATCCTTTCTGTTGTCTCCACAAGGGCTGGTTGAAGTTGTCTCGTCCCTTCTGGAGAACCTCGGCATCAAGCACCCGTCAGCCGTTGCAGCACGTGCTAGAACAGGCGGACTCTTTTGCAAACCGCTCTCAAATCATTCCATACAGGAAATCTTGGCTCTGTAAATGCACAGGTCAAACGTAAATGCACAGGTCAAACTGTCTCTTAAGCACCCGGCTTGGAACGTCTTGGAACCAAGCCGTGTAAACGCCATGTAAGGCTAGAATCAGCCAAGACAACATATTCACCTTGAACGGCCCCCCTTGCTGGCGCCAGCAGCCACAGCTGCTTCGGATCGCCTCCACCAGTGTGCAATCTTTTTGAAACTTGCAGGCGACACATGGGACATTCCGCCTTCCTCATCACCTCCCCAAGCGTCGCTTATCACACCAGTGCTGGTTTCCCGGATGGTATCTCCTGCAGTTGCACGGACATGTCTACGTCAAGCAAACACAGCAGGCCGTTTGCACCTATGAGCTCCGGCATAGACGAGCTGCGGGTCGCCATGCCGGAGGCGAAACATTGGTATTGAGGCTTGTTGACGACAGCAAAACTTTTCAAACGAGATGCTTTCCGCGCCAGGGGCCCGCCGCAACTCTGTGATCAGCTCAGTTGTTTCATAGTTTGTTGCGGACATCGTATTTCTGACCTGCTTGCTGCACGCTGCGTCCCAGGATTCCTTCGACATCCGGTAATTAACATCCTTGCATCATCAAATGGCTTCGGGTCGCAGAGCGACAGCAACTCGTAGCTGCTTCAGACTGCAGATTGTCCTAAACCCGTGAAGCGATTCTACCATCTCTGCTAACATAGCGCTGGGCTCCGAGATTGGCGCGAGGCCTCAGGTCACGGACAATGGCCTCAAGCCCCTTGCACTTCGGATTGTGCAAAGTGTTTTGAAGCCAAAGGACCGCTCCGGGATCGTACCACGATCTGTCCGTTTTCATCTGCCACTAGAAGCCTCGGTCCAACTTCCCATTAATCCCATTAAGGCGGTATGCTCCATCACTTTCTGGAGAGCTGTCCTTGCTAGATTCTAGATGATGGGCCCCGGGCGTCTTGGAGATTGGCGCAGCTGCATCGGGCATGCCTGGTGCTCAAGACCCGGAGCTGTGTCTCAGAGCCGATGACAGGCACAAGCAAAAAGCCGCGTCTGGGTACTGGACATAAACACATGCAAGACAACGATCCCATCTGAAACCTGGCTGCAAAGTGAGGGCAATCCGGGAGGTGGGTTCTATGGCGATCGCCAAGATCAGCATGACACGTGCTGGGTTGTCCACCCACATCCTGGCCAAACCTCACGCGTTTATTCGCAACCCTCGCTCAAACCCAGGGGCAGCACAGCCGCCTGAGCACTACATCTCTGAGTACGGAGCTCCAACTGAAAGTGCTCCGAACGAGTTGCTGCAGAATGGCCTTGGCAAAGCAGGTGGTGCTGCGTCTAGCGACTGGATCTGGCAGAGTAGCACGTTTCGGATGTCTCATCTTAGGCCGCCGCATTGCAACATGTTGTTGTCACGTCGTGGGGCTGCGAGTTGCAATCCGACAAAGGATGAACGGCGTGACTTGGCCTAGTGGAATTTCCTTTCATCTCAGCCGTCTTCTGCAGCCTAGCTTGAGAGCTTAACAGAAACTGATCTAAGTACGAAACAGGCCAGCAAGCTACCAAGCCACAAAACAGGCAGGCAGGCAAGCAAGCAAGCAAAATCTGAAGCGATTGTGTAGCTTGGCAACAGTGTAAACAACAACCAATAGCACCAGCACCTTGACAAGACCCGTCGTCGCTTGAAGTGAAGCGGCACTGCAGACAAGATGTTGGAACACATGGGCTTCATTGGAGGAAATCGTCGTGTCCAGCGCGCATCAAAACGTTCGCCGTCAAACATTCCTTCTAGCACGAGTTACCTCTGAAGCTGTGGCAGCGTCAGTTTGCCATATACCACCGTGGGTGGGCATCCATAATGTGTTCTAGCTCTTGTTTCTTTTTCGTTTTCGCTTCTGCAAGCGTTGTTGCACTGTGGCACTCGCGGCAGGCTCAGCAGCAAAAAGTCACAGCGGTGTAAAGCCGCTGCACTGCCATTGCCGCAATCGATCTGACTTGTGAAGCAGTCATGGTTAGGCAACAGGCCGGCACATCGTGGCATGCAAGCCATCTTGAAAAGAAGTGCCTAATGCTTTTTAGTCGCACCATGCAAGTAATCAAGTAATCTGCTCTTGAAAACCTCCTCCGGTGTTTCAACATTTAAATGCAGCAAGTCGAACGGGATTAGCACAATGATCTAGCCCCTGGCTGCGTGATGACCGGGGTCATCAGACAAGCAAGAAGACGTCAGAATTGCTGCCTGCATGCAAAGCACTTTAAAAAGCACTAATTTAGTGCGACGCCACAAGGTGGGTTGCTGTTGGCCAAACTCGTGGATTCGCTCAAATGTACACATTATATCACATAATTACAGAGCCCGTTCTGTGCAAACACTAGTGCAGGTTCTGCACTGCTCCGCTGTGGGGACTGTCGGGAACCGGTGATAATCAGGCCATCAAGCGGCTGTAGAGCTCATAGCCTCGAGACTCGGAGACTGCGTGTCGTCTTCTGGGAAAGAGAGAGAGAGAGAGAAGTGCTCAAGCTCAGAAAGGCGCGCTGGTTGAAATTCTTGAGCACCTCGGCTCTGCCCTTGTGGCTGCCTGGCAGCTCGCTTAAAGCCATCTTTTCACACATCGCATCGTCACTGGTGACCACCTCCTTTTGGGATCACATTCATCTCTTTGCCATCTGCTGACTTGCCTGACATTATGGACTGGAATCTTATTGCCCTTCGTTTGGGCACTCCGTCCAGCATGTACTTTAGATGAGCGGAAGTCTGCAAGCGCATCATTACACGACATGGGAGAGAATGCCCAACACCCTCGCCTGTGATGGTTTCAGACTTCTCCGTCGACAGCATCGGTGACAAATTCGTCGCACACTGTTCCTCGACAGCTCGAAGACCCTCGAATCGATTTAGACACAGAGGCCATGGGGGGCAGCTTCCTGAAAGTTCGCGCTCAAGTCGAAAGCAAGATCCTTGGCTGCAGCATGTGCGCGAAGACGCTACAGCTTCAACGATACAGACGTCTGGAATAATTGCTCGCATCGAGAATCTGGACGCCGATTATGCAGAGCCGATGCACCTTTCGCACACTTGAGGTGAATCGTCATTTAGAACACGAGCGAAGAGGTTGAACATCGATGAGCCCTGCACCGTTGAATGCATAAAGTGCCGAGCACCGAGGATCCTCTGCTTTGATGGTAGATTGCGGGGAGTACTTTTCCTGAATGTTCTCCTGGGGCCGGCCACGATTTTCGAGTCTCGCGGAGTAGAGGACAACAAAAAGCGAGCTCGGTAGCCTCACTGCGCAGACGAAAGATTGACTGAAGAAGTGACATGGCCTCGGTCTGATGAGAAAGTCTGCCATTACGGGGATTGGACGGAAAGGGCACTCAGCAAAGGAGCTCGGAGCAACTGGTCGGCCCCTCGAAGTCACCCAGGACCACACGGATCAACCCAGGCAGAGGATCACTGGATATGGAAAACGGCCAGGCGTAGACTGGGGAAGCACAACATGCATGTAGCTTCTCTCCGCATTCGCAGCTGACCGTCGTTAACTCACACTGTCGGATACTTTCGGCCAAGGCAAATCCTGTCTGGGCTGCAGCGGCCGGCACACTACACTTGGAGAAGCCACGGTCACTCGTTGCTGGCGTCGGAGGACCTCGGCTAACGAATTCTCCAAAGCCGCCAAGCCGGAGTGCCCAGACCCCACGACACCCTGACCCGTTTCCCGCAGTGAAGCCTAGGATGCGGACTCAGAGCTCGAGGAAGACTCAGACTTGTCCTCCTCCTGATCACCTCAGCTCCCGTTCGGTTCCACGGCGAGCCCGCCGCCTAGAAAGCTCTGTTTCACTCAGCATCTCATTAGAGCAGATGAGAGAGGGACTGTAGTAACTGTAGTACTCGTACTCCGAGGGCTCCTCTGAGCTCAAGCAAACAAGAATAGCAGGAGTCTCCGCAGCGGCTGGTCCTTCTGAGGCGCATCTGCCGCGCTCTTCCTGGCCTTGCTCTTGGCCTGCGTAAGCATGGCACTGAGGGTTGTCCTGCCTTGGCAGCAAAGCATGAAGCCTTGCCAGCAATAAGCGGAATCGCATCCTCTGCCTTGGACCGCTTGACCTCGAGCTTGCGACGGAACTTGATTGGCATGCGCAACAGTTCCGGCCAAAACCCCCAACGTGGCCGGTTGCCTGCTTGGCTTCAGGTTTTGGAGCTTCGTCCTGGCGCAGCGCCACGACATGCGTCAGGCTCTGCACTGCCTATGCAGACTGCGGCCTACGCTGGCTGACATCCGAAGCAAAAGTCAGGCCTCGCTCCCCCGCTTGCGTGGCTTCACCTTCCTTTCTGCGTCTTGCTCGCGCGACCGGACCTTTGTGTGGTCCTTTTTCTTGGCGGCGGCTTTGGACGCAGCTTTCGATGCTGCAGCTTTCGAGGCTGCTGCTTTCGATGCCTTCTTCTTGCCTCGCACATAAATGGCTCACTCCTGCGATGAGGCAGGTCCCTTCCTTGCATTAGCCGAAGTCCAGCCAAGGTTCATGCTCACCGCTGGCCGTTGCTAACCAACGGCAAAGCCACGGCCGGAACCCGGACCTTTTTAAGTTCGAAGTCCCTCTTTCCCGGGGTTCGGACTGCTCGGTTCGCATCTTGTCCTTCTGACATCTTTCCTAAGAGGCGAGGCAGTGCAAGCATGGGATGAAAGGAGAGGGAAAAGATAGGAACACCTCTGAATGTAACATCTGTTCCAAAGTGCTTCCCAGAAGAAATAGGCGCCTGTTCTGCACTGCACTCGAAAAAACTATGCCGAGTCCACCAGAAGAAACCCAAGGGACAAGACATACAGTATCTTTGCCGACAAGCGTCGTCAAGCCGAGGACAGCCGTGTCCCGAGCGTGCTCGCGTGAGCACCTCGGACTTTCGTTAGCCATGCTCTCAACAACACAGCCATGCATTTTCTCATCAGCGTGGCATTTTCTCGGTGAATCTTTACATCCTGCAGCGGTCCTCATATGCCTGGCTGAAACAATCAGCCGCGGTCTGAGGCTTCTGCGAAACCTCGCGAGGGTGCCGCGGCCGGTGACCTCTGATGCTCCGAGCCCCTCTTGTTGCTCTGAGCTGTCCCTGGCCGCGGCCACGGCCCTGCCTGCTCCGCCTGGTCTGTCTCTGGATCTGGATCGCTGAGGCCGGTGGTGTCCCCGGTCTGAAGCCGGGCCTTCGCCAGCAAGGGCCGGGCATCGTCTGCCGAAAGCTGTGATGGAAAGCCAATCAATCACTGCTACGCACCGGGCCCTTTTCGTGTCAGCACATTAGCTTCTGGAGCGACCAGCTTGGAGCGACCAACTTGGCGAGGACCCAAGCGAGCTCGGACAAAGCGATCACAATCGAGGAAGAGTGTTCAGAGCACTCCCACGACCGCGTCACTCCGCCGCACGCTTTGAGGGGTCACCGGCTCATAGATGGTGGAACCCGGGCTCCTCATCAGACTGTTGATTTCTAAGCGCTGCTTCTCGAAAGGACAACTGTGTGCAAGCTTGGTTGTGTGGACTTGCGCATTCTGCCGCGCAGGGAACAAAGACAAAAGAGAGCAATTTCGGATGGCGTCAACTTCCCCAAGGACGAAGCCCAAAGCATCCCTCACAGAGCACAAGGTTGACACTGCTCCCGAAGGAAACGGGACCGGAGTGCACTTTGCAGCACAAATGCGAGGGAAGGAAACCAACGAAGTAGCAGCTCCCAACTATTTTGGGGTCGCTCGTGCCTCCGTTCCTCACTCGGTCAACAAACTTGACGAAGCACGCCACTCGTGCACATCAACTCAAACAAGATTCGCGAGCCGCCGAGCAGGTGAGGATCCGCTCTGTCGTGAGACCAGGAGCTTCCTTGGATCAAGAGGCAAAGGGCTGAGAGCGGATGTGCCACACATCTGCAGAACTCCGCAAATGTCTCCGGTGTCTGCTTCGCAAGTGTCAGCCGCTCGTTGTCAGCCAGAACCGTCTGGAGCTGTGCCTGCTGCGAGGTTGGCAAAAGGATGGCGGCTGCAGAGAGAACAGAAGTCAACTCAAGGCATATCGGCAAACATACATACATACATACATACATACATACATACATACATCCATCCATCGATGCATGCATGCATACATACACACACACACATATATATATATATATATATATATATATATATATATATGTATATATATGTATATATATATATATATATGTCGAAGTACACAGATATACATATATCTGTGTCTCTTTTCTGCATAGATCATGGTTTGCTTGTTGCTTCTTGCAAGCTTGATTGCTTGCTTGCAGGGGGTGTAGGGCCTCGAAAGACCCTTGGCCTTTTTGCAAGCTTTCTTCTTCTCTCAGCCTTAAGGGGCTCCCGAACACTATGGCCCGCCCGCCTTTTACGGGCTTTTAGAGGGGGGATGAAGAATATTTGGTATTACTCCATGTGGTTTCGGTCTTCAATCATCCTTTGGTTTGACATTCGAATTTGGCTCTGGCTCATGCTTTACTGCGATTTCGGAAGCATACAAGAAACAGGACAGCGCCAAGACACTACATTTGATGCAGGGTTTTTCTGCATGGCCTGAGCTCTCTCTCTCTCTCTCTTTCTCTCTGTCTTTCTCTCTCCCTCTCTTGCTTTGCTTTGCTTGGGAAGGGTATGGAGCTCCGAGAGACTCCTGGCCCGAAGGCCTACCCGCTGTCGGTTCGCGTCTGACAGGTCCGAGGGACCCATTACGGGTTTACAGATCCGATTGACCCTCCAAAAAAGTGAATAAACACCTCCTCAACCATTACCGTTCTCAGAGACCCAGCTAGTCCGACAACCATGCCACAAACAGCTTAGAATGCAATCCCGATGATATATTTCAATACACACTTGCCACTTGTCTTGTCCCCCGTCGACTCTCTCTGTCCCTCCCTCTCTCTGTCTCTCTCTCTCTCTCTCTCTACCGGGCGTGAGGGTCGGGACAGCGTTCAGATCCCTTCCCTCGTGCGCGCACGCGAACCCGCGGTTCGCGGGGTGTCCTTGGGTCCCCCCCGAGGTTATTCCTCGGAAAGGCTCGTCTGTACTAAAGAAGCAGAAGGTACTTGGGCGGAAATGCGCTGAACTCAGAACTCACAACACAAAACGCATGAGTAGGATAACCCTCAACCTTGAAACTGCTCCAGTGACAACAAAATTTCCCCCTCCAGACAGACACTACCCTGCAAAGTCAATGCGTCAGCTCTGTCTCTCTCTTCTTCTTCTGCTCGGCCAGAGGGAAGGCTCTCTTTCTCTCTCTCTTTGCTTTGCTTGGGGTGTGAGGCGGGTGCAGTCCACCCGCCCCGCGCTAGTGCGCTACCCCATCCACTATCTTCTGTGGATGGGCTCGGCTGTACAAGAAAAGGTGCCCTGTTGTTCAGGGTGGTGGGCGGGTGCCCCAGTGTAGAAGCAACAGCGAAACCTAGTTAAAAGCTGGGCCCCCGCTCCACCTGTGGTGTAACTTTGTGTGGGTTCCCCGGCTTGTTCAAGCAACACGAGAAAAGTCAGTGCACAGTATGACGTGAACAAAGTGTGTGCCTCGGGTACCCATACTCTTGTGTGCCCCTGCCTCAAACCTGTACCCCCAGCCTTTCTTCCCTGCCTTGTCCCAAACGGAAGCCTTAACCCTGGGCAGCACTGCCTACGACCTTCCGCTCAACCCTGAAGCCTCACAAACTGTGTGCCCCCTTCTCTGTGTTTGTGAAGCAAAACGAGGTTTTCAAAGAGGGGTCGGCACATGTGGTAGTGAGACTAGTGGGTCGCCGAGGGCAGTGTGAGGTGCACCTGTATTGGAGGACAAGAAACAACAAACAAAAGGTTCAACAGTATAACAGTAGGTAACTAGTAGCAGCAGGTGCCCTCTGTCTACCCTGGTGCCTCCACTTGCTCTACAGTACACTTTAACCCACTCTCTCTCTCTCTCTCGGGCGTAGGGGTCGGTTAAGACCCCCGGGCTTCCAGCCCACCCGCATGTTTTGTTCTGCGGGATGTGGGGGGTGAGGAGCGAGCATAATCCCCTTGCAAGCTCAAGCCTGATGTAGTCACACTGACGAATCAGGTGGGATGTATGCTCTCGAGAGAAATAGTTTCCAACAGCACTGAAGGCATGTATTCTTGCAATCTCTCTCTCTCTCTCTCTTTTTCGCTCTCTCTGTTGCTCTGTGGCGCTAGGAGGGAGTCCGCGCATACGCTTCCGCCCTGCCCGATTTCGTGCAGCGATGGCAGTGGATTTGCACTGAAAACATGCAGGCTTCCCAGGTCAATACCAGACCCTCAAAGAAAGCCGTTTCAATATGTCCACAAGTGGGGTGCGCTCCCTCTCTCCCATCTCTCGTCGCTCCACTTTCTCCCTCGATTTCGTGAGCTTTGGTTCGAAGCAGGCGGAGGACCCTGTTTCTCACTGGCACTGAGTCTTCACTGGAGATGCTCAGCTCGGGGCCGTCGGGCAGGGGCGAATCCTCGGAGCCGGAAGCAAAGATGTCTCCTCCAGCACACCGCAACTCTACAATCCTTGCACTTGTTGGCGCTTGAAAGCTTGAGGTCCTTTCCTGGGACTTGGCCAGGCTTGTAGCAGTTTCACTATTTCCGGGAGCGGGAGACCCCTCCTGAAGGTGAGCATCTGGTGCTCCATTTGGGCTCCTGTCTGCAGCACTGCAGAACCACACACACACACACACACACTCACACCAGCCACACTAGAGGCTTGGCCTGAATCCGTTCAGCCCCCGCGGATTCTGAGCCACACCAGCACCTCATCAGGTAGGCGGTAGGCAGGCACAGCACCAAATACCAAAGTGAAGCTGGGCCTTCAAGAAACAACAGACTGCTTCGTTGGGACTTCCTCAACCAATGGAAACGAACGTGAGTTTCACCCGGCCTATCCCATCTCCGATCCCTCCCACCCGCCAGATCAGAGAGAGAGGGAGAGAGACAGAGACTCCCGTATCATTGTGGGGAAATCAGAAATGCTTATTCAATCAGCTGAACATAGCTTTGCTGAAGTCTTGCCACTGCCATCAGTGAAGAAGCCAGGGCGACTCAGCAGGAATATGCTTTGAGTTTGGCAATCTGTCAGTCTCGTCTTCACGACGCAGGCACCGATACTGCAAGGGATGCTAGTCGCTAGCCCCCGCATAAACTGTGGATCACAGCAGTGCTTGTGCGATGTTATATTCTCGACTCGATTTGCTCAGGCACAGCAAAGTCAGAAGAATGCTGAGATACGCTGAGTCTCCATTTGCGGAACTACAAGCAACTCTTGACTTCTGATGTCCTGAGCCACTGTACCTGGCCACCTCAAACAAATGTCTGCAGCTCTGGCTTGCGGTGCGGAGCCCGGATCACTGCACTCTGAACTCTGAACTCCAACTCCAAAACAAGAAGCAGCAACACCTCATGGAAGGCCTTTGTGAAAGGTCAATCAGGAACCCACCTTGACTTCTGACGCTCATCTCTTTCGCGTCGCTATCATCTGTCAGCGGGCGAGCCTGTCAACTTAACCCCAACATGGACGAGTCTGAACATTAACATGAAGAGGCCCAATCGCACTAAACCACTGCGAAAATGACAAATAGGTCATGGGAAACAGTACACTCTTGTCATGTGGACATTTACTTCACAGCTGACGGAAATCCAGCGTAGCCGTAGTCCCCTCGCCCTCGTGACAATGCTGGCCCGATGCTGAAATCTTCTCAAGATCGCCTCGGTAGCGCCTGAGGAACGTGCGTGTGCCTCGTAAGCATCCTTGGTCGACATACATGTGCCGAAAAAGCGAAGCAAACAAAGAGGGAGAAAGGGACAGAGAATGAGACAAAGAGCAAGAGAAGGAAAGAGAGAGAGCGCGAGAGAGAGAGAGAGAGAGGCGTGCAAAGCGATAAAGAGACGGGCGGAGGGGAGGATGGGAGCGGAAGCGGGAGCAACGGCGTCGGGGATGGTTTCAGAAATACAGATGTCGCAAACCGCAAGGCCCCCGCTTACCGAACCATTAGTATCGCTAAGCAAGCGCCCAGGTGGGCGGAAGTTGAGAGATGGGAGGTGGGAGGTCGCGGGTGGGAGGTGGGTGTTTCAGGTAAAGCAATCTCACGAGTCCTGGGCCCCTGCCCTACACGCTATCATTTGTGAACTGCCTGTGGATGTCACCAGGCATGCCAAGAAGCTGCTTCGCGCCTCTGCGCATCAACCTGCATGGTGGCATGTCGTTTATACTCGCAGCTTCAGCATCAGAACTTGAGGGACCACGGGCGGTTGCAAGAGGGTGTTTCTTCGAAAGTGACCGGTGCCAAAGGTGTGCAAGGCGCCTTGTCCCTCAGTTGCGCCTGTTCCGACTCTCCCTCGAAGCGGCATCTCCAAAGCTCAGCCTAACAGAAGCCAGCGTGGAAGCATCACAAGCATGACAATTCTAATTCAACTCTACATTCCATGAACTTCGCTCCTAATAACTGGAATAGGGTTTGGGAGTATATTATGCTATAATTCTAGGAATCAGCCCCCCAAAACCCCCCTAGACCCACAAACTGCACAGGCCCAAAGAATGGCGGCCTCCAGGTTGGTTTTCTCCAGAGATGCTTTGCAGGTTTGCTGCTCGAGCTCTGCGGAGACCCGCTGCAACCTGAAGACCGAAAAAAATCAGCCCTAGCCCTTGTATCCTAGCCAACAACTATCCAGCTTCTTTCATTAAGCCTATCCTACATCCTAAATACCCTACATCCCGTAGACCCTGAACCCCAAACCCCAGAACCGGAAACCCTAGGCCCTAAGGCGCCAAGCCCTCGTGGACCGCGATCTCTGCCGGGGCACGTCTCGTTCTCGGCCGCCAGGCTCTGCTTGGCCTTCGTCAGCTCGGCCTTGGCCTCACCCCTGGGCTTCGCTTTAAGCAGGAAGGCAAGTCGAAGAACTCTGGTATATGTACAGTCTAGTATATAGAAAATAGTACATGTTTGCCGCCTGCATGGCTGAGTACACGAAGCAGGGCAAGTATATAGTATTGTTGGAGCATAACATATTTTTGGGGTTTACCTATTCTCAAAAGCTTCATCCAATTCCCTTACCAGCTTCTCAGAAAATCGAGCTGTTGCAGTCTCGGCACAACTGATTCTCGAGTGTTTCCAGCTGCTGCCGTTGCTCTGCTCTTCTCGCTGCAGCCTGCGAAGTCGTGGCTGCTGCCTGAGGCATCTTATCTCGCGAGCACAAACATGGACAAATACTTGGCAGCGCGCGCGGCGCGCCTTTTCCTCGACAAGCTGCAGCTCCTCCTCCAAGCTCTCAGCCTCCAAAGCATGCAGTGGCAGACCTGTGTCTGTGTCCGTGTTCGGGCTCCCCGCCTGCAGAGCGACCTTGTGCATGGAAACTCGTCCTGCAAGCATCTCCTCACTCCATGTCCCGCATTCATGGGCGAAGCCATCCTCCAACACCGCTCGGGCACCGGATATCTCGTTACCTGACATGGCAGAACGCCGTGGTTTCATCGAGGCTGTTCATTTTCTGACGAGCTACACTGTGACCGCCAGCTTGAGACTTCGTCTTGCAGCGTCTGCATCTCCCCGGCAAGATCGAGAATCCTTAGGAGGCGGTCTCCTATTCCAAATGTGCTCTGAGCTCAGGCCGGCGGGGGGCCGATCCGAGCGGACTTTGCCATCAGCTCTTCCGTCCAATAATAGCTCTTTCTCCAACTCGCCTTTCCGAGCTCTCGCCGCCGCCAGGTTGGCCTCTGAAAGGTGGTGTCTGGGGCAGGAGGCTCCAGAAGTGGGGGGTTATGGTGCCGCCCCCTTCGTACAGCGCCCTTGCGCCGGTCGGTCTGTGCGGCACAGGGTTGGACCGCTCGAACAACGACTCGGAGGGTGTCGGACACACAGTTTGCAAAAAAAGAAAGGGAACCCAGATCGAGTGCCAAACATAGGTCGGTGCCCACAACCAGAGATTAAAATCGATTCGCGACGCCGCAGCCTTCGTCAACCTTGCAAATGCGAGCCTCGTAGAAGCGCTGCTGTCTGAGGAAGCGCTCCTCATGGATTGCCTGCCGTGTCAAGACCTGGCCGCCCAAACCAATGCTCCAAACGTGCTGCGAGGGCGAAAGGAAGCCCAGCGGACAGGCCTCCTCTTGCAACACCTTCTGAGAGCCAGCTCTATACTCTGCTAGCTGCACCTGCGACGCTCAAGCCCGTCTGTCTAACGGAGCTCTCATGCTGACAAAGCCCGCCCAGAAACCTTGAGATGCTCGTTGCCATTAGCGGCCAGACTCAGAGAGTCCTGGGTTTCACCTCAGATGCACACTGGCCTCTGTGGCAAAACTGGTAACCAGCATGATCCGTGCTCCAGCCAGGCAGCGCGTCTGCTTGCGAAGTTCAACCAAAGCCTCTTGCTGCCTCTCACGGCCGACTCTCGGATTCTCTTCGCTGGCAGCACGTGAAAGCTTGAGAAAACGAGAGACCCTGACAGCAGGACCCAAAGGGCAGGACCGTTTGGAACCTAAACCAACTTAGGCCTGATGCCCCCATATCCGGGCCTGCTTAGGTCCGACCTCGCCATCCCCACAGCAGCGCGGAGTCGCTGGAGATCGTGCCTCCAGATTCGACCAAGGCGGAACTTCGAGGACCCTTCCCAGGCACTCAGAGAGAAGTTCGAAGCTCCGAAGAAAGCTTGACTGCACCATCTATGATTGACATATAGCTTTACATGGGTGCTTGTCAAATTAGGGCCCCTTGTTGGGCACCCTACATAATTGGTGCCGTATTATAATAGGGACCCAAGAAGGGACCATAATTTTGACAACCACCCATATAACATACAATATACAGTATCAAAGGTGATATATAATGTGTAGTTATGTGATATTGCAAGCAGTCATGATGGTTGCAAGGCGCATGGCCTGGCACGCTCCTGCGCTGCCTCGGCATCTCGGCGCTGCACTTCCACCACCTCCCACTGCCGCTGGCGCCGCGTCTGCTCCTGGCAAAACCAGCATACCATAGGTTATATCCATAAGCTATATATTGCAATTGCTACATTAGTATAATATGGCAACTTATAGAACAGGATAACCTACCAACCCGGCACATGGAGCGAAACTTCAGGTTCGGCTCCTGAACGGCAACGGCTCTCTCCGTCGCAACCGATCGGCTGACTGCTTGCAGCTGGCTCGAGAGGCGCTGCAGCTCTCGAGAGGAACGTGCCTCAGACTCTTCTGAAAATAGTATAGGTAATCAGGTAATTAATTGTTAAGGCCCCCAAACTCTATACTAAACCCCCATAATGCCCCCCCTATAGTACTAGTAGCCCTTGTAGCAACTCTGCGCCTCCTAGAGCAAACGGGGCCCGGCCTGAACATCAGCCGTTCCAGCAGCTAGAAGCGCTTGCTGCTGCGCCGTCTGGAAGGATTCCTCCAAAAGCCGCCACTTTCGAGGGCCACACTGGCAGGCTCAAGATGTGCGGCCTGCTGGTGCCTCTTCTGCTGGGCAGCTGTTTGCAAGTGGAGATCGCTAAGTTGGCTCTCCAAGCCCGCTTGCCGCGAGTGCCGTGCTCGCCTGACAAGGGCAGGTGCAATGGGGTCACGGGGGCCACGCCGGTCACGCTACTAGTAGTGGCTGAGAGTGCAAGCGGGCAGCAAGCAGAGCTTCAGCTTCTCACAGATCTTCTGCTCCGCCGCAGCCATTTCATCCAAGTACTCGCGGAGTCGGGCTTCCGCTCCCGTGTTGTCCAACGCACTTCCTCACTATAATGTATAGGCAAGAAGTCTAAGGTTGCCATTGTGCAGCCCTCATGCAAGGGCCGATGCCTCCAAGCGTCGGACACCAGATAGCGACTTCTGAGCAGACCTCAGGCCTTTCTGAAGCCTCTGAAGCTTCTCGGCCAAGAGTGCAGAAGTCCGACTTTCTCTTGCGGTGAGCTGCTTTAAAGCCTTGATTCTGCAAGCAGTGGACTGCTAGCACCAAGCTTGCAACGAAATGTGAGCAAGGAAGAAGCCGAAGGCCGAAAGAAGACGCTCCCAACGCTTGTCTCGGGACTTCTTCTTGCCGAAGACGAAGCTCTCGTTCCCGGGCCTCTGCCTCAAGCACGTCCACAGAACGTCACGTGGTGCACTAGCACGCATGGCAAGAACACGCAGGCATGGGAGGGCATGGTAAAATGGTCTCAAAATGTCTCAAATGTGGCGACGACAGTATGTGCCTCCGAACGGGACCTTCTCTGCAGCTCCACCAGGTTTTCCTCAGGTGAGCGCAGGATTCCAAAGAAGACCAGGCGTTCCGACGTTGCAGCTACGGCTCTGCTTGAAAGGCCTGCTCCTTCCTTTGAAGTTCCAACACCGCCTCCTGCTGAAAGGCTCATTTCCAGAGCGACTCTGTAGCGGGTGATAATATGAAGTCACTGTGGAAATCAAGGCATCCCTGCAGTCCACAGCGTGCTTGTGGATTTGGGCAATGCTGTCGACTGGGCTTCGCCATTACGATCCGAACCTCCTCCTAAACTACCAAAAACATAGAAACGGTACACTGCCAGAACTCCTGAGCTTGGACCTGGTCGTCCAGCCGACGCACATGCGCCTTCGGAATGCACAGAACGGGACGAATCGTGTTACAAAGACGGGTCAATGCTTCCTGCCTGGGCTTTGGCCAGACTCTGCTCCAGGACGTCACTTGCTTCGGTCTCTTTGCGCAAGTTGGCACTCAGCTCCTCGCACTTCTGCTGCATGTCCTGCACCCACCCGATCAGATCCAAGCTGAAGGCTTGAGCCCCACCCTGTTTTCAGCCACTCCAAGACTCCAAGAGCCTGCAGTGACTGCCGCAGGACATCGTAGCTTCCGGCCCCGGCCTGCGGCATCTCGCTCAGGGACATGTTTCGACTATCTCGAGTTTCGCTCGGCTCAGCACAAGCTATACAGAATGACCGGGATGGTTGGGGAAACATGCAACGACCACTCCAAGCCTCGGTGGGCGCCAGAACACACACCTTGGAGGCCTCCTGGAGATCGAGCCTCGCGGTATTTCGAGCACGTCGCGTTGTCTTGGGACTTCAGCTTCTGCCAGGCAGCTCCACGGGGCGGAGCGCGTCCAGGATCGGCCGCAGCTCCGGCTTCCCCACCGATAAGCGGTCTCGGCAGAACTCCGCCGACCGACAGAGCCGCTGCAGCGCATGGGAGAGAGCTTCCCGCTGCTCCGTCTCCTTGCCGTATCTTCATTCATGAAAGCAGAGACTTCCCCATGTCACCCGAAAGCTCTCTCACCTGAGAGAGGCGGCGCCGCAGCTCGGCCTCTCCTAGATCCGACTTCCACTGCATGGCACATCTTCTTTGCACACCTGTGGTCCCTTGTGGTCTTATCGTCACACCGATGGAGCACCTTGAGGCCGAGTTTGGGGGCTTGTCTTCTGAGCTTTCTGGCGAAGAGACCGTGATGCGCAATGGTGAGGATGCCGACCATCAGGTAGCAAGGAGGATGTCTGACGAAGGTTGACGAAGTGGCTGATCCAGTTCTGCGACATGGACATGTGAATTTCGCATCTAGCCGCCAGACTTGAGCAGAGCACACTCACACACACTTCGGAGGCAAGCAATGAGCTAGAGGTTTCGAAGCTTAGGCTGAGGGCATTCAGAAGCTGTGACTTCTGCAAAGCTGGGTCGGCCGGCATACTATGGACACCCCGAACTAGCTACAATAGAAAAACATCGGGGACTCAATCCTGAAGTCCAGCGGCGGTATCGCACGAATGTGATCCTTGTTTGTTACACTGCTCCAAAAAGGCAAGGACGATTTGGGCCAAGGCTGGCCTCGAAACCGATGTAAAGACACCTGGCGAGGGTGCAAAACAGGTCCTCGGATACCATACTACCGCAGCTGCAGAGATTGCAAAAGTGGCCTCTCGGCGCCTGGAACGAGATCTCCGTCGATTGAAGGCTGATGGACCTGGTTGGCACAGACTCTCCAAACATCTGTAGGGAGTGCAAATGCGTGAACTTCAAGGTAAGCCCACGGCGCTCACGGTCTGGACGGTGTTCATCCCGCCGCGTAAGCACTCCTTTTGGATATTTGACCTCCGCAGCCGCTCAACAACTCAAGGACAGCATGGTGCGAGTGTTGCTGCGCAAAACATGCTGCCGCACCTCTCGAGCTCGAAGTTCTATCGAACGGCCTACACGAAGCAGAACGAAGCGCTCGTCCATCGAACAGATATTGCACACGCTGGGGCATGTGTTGAGAAGCAGCAGGTCATGACAGACATAAGCCGGCATCGTCACTCTCTCTACGCCTTTCACTGTTTGAGCGGATCCGAGTTGTTGGTGCACGAACGCTCGAACATCCCGGCACTGGCGATGCCCCACACTGCAAAGCCAGTGCACTCCCAGGGAAAGCACCAAAGCACCAGCTCAGGCTCAAGCTGGATCCTGTACAAAAGCGAAACTCGTAGACTCAACGTAGAAAATAGCTGCTATCAGCTTTCTGCGCATTGCGCAGGCTGCACTCGACTACTCAGCAAAGCAAGCAGAACGGGGCCCAACTTGCATCCCTCAGCACGCCCCTCGCTGCTTCTTGGCTTTCTTCGAGGACTGCGCAGCCAGGGCGGCACTTACGGCTCCACCAGTGAGGCTGCGCTTGTTGCTGCCTCGGATGCTGCAAAACACGCAAGGTGCCCGGAAAGAACGGCATGGACTGCACAGCCAAGATTAAAGGTCCGTTCCGGGCAGGATCTGATGTCCAGGTCCAAAAACTCCGACACCCTTCAAAGAGAAACGTCGCCGAGCGTCCCGGGCTCGGTGTCTGCGGTGAGGATCCAGAGCCCCGTTTCAGGAGGCTCGGCCGTCGTTGGGGTGTGGTGAGGACCTTGGTCGCTGCGCAGGAGAGGCTGGCATCGACAGTGTGACTCAGCAGTGGAGAAGGACTGTCCAGACGACCCGTGTGAGGGAGTGCAAAATCCACAGAGGACTTGCTGTCAGGCATGAATGGCATGGATGGCTTTCTCTGTCAGAGGCCGGTGGTTCCAGGTGATGCTCACACGAACGCGAAACCCTGAAGACCAAAAAAGAGGCAGCAGCAACCGCTCGGCGTCGGTTTAGAGCGATGAATCTGACAGCTGGGCTCTCGGCACTAGCATCCTCCAGCATGGACGCTTGGGACACTCCGAGCACCTGATGAACCCACGCCAAAATGCCCAGACTGGCAAGCAGCACTTGCATAAGCACTGCCTGAGTCTTCAATGGGGAAGAATCCGATGCTTGCCCCACATCTTGCAGTGCTGGCGTCTCCGGCAACTGGTGCTCCTGCCACTCAAGACGAGAATTCCCAGTGGCAGAAAGCCATTACAACTTACAACATTGAACTCCCTCAGACAGCCAGGCTACAAGTTCAGAGAGGCGTCTAAGGTCTTGGGTGGTCCTGCTCACTGAGGCGATCCTTTAGAACAGCTGCATTCAAACGCCGCTCAACGACGGGGTCCACTGCAAAGAGCTGGGCGGGCATGCTGCCTCGAGCCTGAAACGATGTGGACGGATCCGATGAGATGCATTCACCAATCTTCAGTGGACGCAGCCGGACAGATGAACTGCTGCCAAGAGTCTGCTCCCTGCAGCAATGCCGCTGCTTGTAAGCCCAATTCGGGACAACGCCTCTCGGCAACATAGCGCAGAACGCTGGCAGCGGTCCTCATCGAGGATGTGCAGTCCTCCGGCGGACTTTGTCTTACGTCTTACGAGGTCCCGTGCGCAAAATCCCGGGTGCTATTCGCAGGCCCGGCACACCATGGATCCCGCCTCGCGATCGACAAAATAGCGGGTACGGTCGCAAACCCGCAGAGCCGTTCCGAGGAGCTCGGCACCCTGAGAGTCGCAGTGCAGCAGAGCTTCGCAGAAGAAGCTGGACACCTCTCGAGCAGGGCACAGGTCTGAAGGCCTCAATTCCCGAGCAATCTTTCCACAGTGTATCGCGACTAGACGAACAGCACCCGAACCAAGCTGCATTGTTGATGTTGGTCAACAACCCACTTGAACCCACGAATCTTGCATCCGCGTGTTCCTGCATTGAGCCCCGAGCCAGTCTCTGTAATTCCTTGGCTCCTCAATTGAACATTTCATCTCCCCACGGCATGCAGCATGCTCAAACATGCGTCGGCATCAGTCGCGTTCTGCTACCTGTAACAAGCAGCGCTCGTGGCGTAACAGTCAAGGAAGACTTTAAGCATACATGCATGTTCCCAGGCCCTGCCTTGCTGCTTTCTGGAAAAGCCGACACAGCTGCCGATTCCTCGCCTTCGAAGATCTGAAGCCTCAGCGGAGAATCATGGGGGCGCAGCTGCCGATAGCGAAAGCTTGCGCTTGAGCCTTGACAGGAAATGCACGAAGCACGCCACGGAGAAATCCAGCAAGCCTGGTTGAGAGCCTCGCAGCGGAATCTTCTGTATTAAATCATACTACGAAGCCTCGCAACTGCCATGAAAGCTGCCGGCCTTGCCGGGCGGTCCGCAGCCAGCCCTGCAGCATCTTCTGCCCTGCATCCCGGTGTTTCTTCTGGCCGAAACAGAAGATGGACGGCAAGGTGGTGCAGAGTCGCAAACCTGGTGCTATGCACACTCTCTCGCACTCCATGCGACAGATTGTTCGAAAGGCGAGCTCTCACAGCATAAAGCCGCCAAGGCACGGTCTGCAATCTTCAACTTCGCATGCTTTTGGAACTTCTGGAGGGCATGGAGCAGCTTGTCACCGTCACCCGCAGGGCGCCCGTCTGCCACCAAATGGCCACACGTCTCTGACAACTGGGCCAGCAACGCCGTTGATAGCTCCACGCAGCCAAACCGTAAACTTCGAAGTGAGGCACAGGCCAGATGTAAAAGAAGACCGTCGGATGAGACTTGACCGTTGGTTTCGGAAAGAGGGACAATAGCCTGGGAGCCTTGCGCGGAAGACCGGAATCCTTGCATCACAGTTGCCAAGAGAGAAGCACCGCTGCCTGCCGCCACGACCTCTGCTGCCGCACACTGCAGCTGCAGCAATGAAGACTCAGGCTCGGCTCCAGCGGCAGATGGATGCAGGAGAATGTTCTGGGCGACTTCGAGAAGGGGCTTCCAGTTATAGTCGCGGCAGGCTTCGCCGCAGTCGGAAGAATTTTCCAAAATGGCGGCTGCAAGATGCAGTGCAACGATTTTTGTGGAGCCAACTTCACCTTCGCCTTCGCCGCCTTCGCAGTCTTCGCCTCCGCCCCGAAGGCAACCGTCTGCCCAGGATAGGAGCTGCTGGACTACCGAGGCACGGCAGTCGTCAGAGAGCAGCAGCAGAATTCTGAGAAACTTGCGTGCAGAGTTTTGAAAAGGAGGGACCATGACATGCAACGCTTGGAGAAGCAGCTCTGGAAGCCCCGTCTCATCAAGCTGAGACGAGACACCCTCCACGCAGACTTGCTTCTGAAGTCGGCTCAAGGCTTGCAAGATGGTCTGAGCGTCCTCCTGACTGCACTCCGGCAGGAGCTTCACCATCTCGCCCACGAAGGGGAGAAATGCTCCCAGGAAATACTTCGGCAGGTAACCCACGGTTCTGCGGGCTGCACTTACCATGTCCGGGTCCGGGGCCGTCGCCTCTTCGGAAGTCCAAAGATCCAGGAGTGCGGCGACCTGATCCGGAAGCAGCCACGTAGACATCAGGGCTCGACGAATCAGGGGAGCGATCTCTCCCAACCGATGCACTCGCAGCAGCCGGTCAAGCTCACAGACCTGCTCGGACATCTTGCACGTGCTGTCCTGCAGATCAGGATCCAGCAAGTGATCCAGATGGGCCCAAAGCGTCTTATCCCGGACAGCATCGAGGGAACGTAGGTGTAGTCCGAGTGCCTCAGGCCTTGCATACTTGTCGTCCAGTGTGGGACTCCACTTTGCCAGGTTTTCGAAGAGATCCGCGAAAGGAACGGCCGGCGTCTCGCCTTCCTTGCTTTCGCTCGGAAGGAGGCTTGTGCTTCGAACTTCTCCTAGCGGCGCAGCATTCCCCAGGCGTGCCCGAACAAAGCGGCGCAGTGCTTTGTGGGCATCCCGCTTCTTGGACAGCAGCATGCCCAGCCCGTGCTTCGCCGCCTCTGCGCCGCAGAGTGCCGAGCTGCAGAGGCCCACCAAAGCAAGTGCGCGCTGGTCCTGCGGCAAACCAGCACCGCAGCCTAAAATGTGCTGTTCGATGAGCTCCTCAATCTGCGCAACATAACCCAAGCGGGCGCCACAAAACACGGAATAGGCTTCACACAGGAGTTGAGGTATCCAGCACAATTTATGGGCTTTTTGCCCTTCACCTTTGAGCCAGTGAGGCAGGGCATGCTGCGCATAGAGTTGTGCAGCGGCCTGCGCACAGGCTTCGCGAATCCGAGGCTTCTTGTCCAGGATCCTCTTGCAGATTTCGGACAAGTTGGGCAACATGAATGCCAAACCGTCATCGGAGGCGAGGGCAATGTGTGTGCAGATTTCTACGGCCCGGAGTCGAACGGCATCATTCGGATCCAGGCATCGATGCGCCACCTTGGTGCGGATGCTTTCTGCAGCTGCCATACTTGCAGACCCAGCAGGGTCATCTTCCTGGCAACCAGTCGCCACCACGGACTGCAGCACGGCAGATGCCCCTTCTAAGGCAGTCATGCGAACTCCGTCGTCAGCGTCAGCGAGGCGATCCTGAAAACGCTCCACGAGCCCCGCAAGGCCTGAAGATGAGGCTAAGGCCATGCCACAGGAAGAGCCTCCGTCAGAATCCACCTGGTGATGTGCCAGCAGCTGTGCAATGAATGCCGTGATCGCCCTCCGTCTGTCAGGCTTCGCGCACTGCAAGTCTGCATGTATGTTGGGGAGCACCCGCACCACCAAAGACGGGTGGATGCAGTATAGCTCGTACGTTGCATTCAGCAGTCCCTCGAGCCGATCTTGCGACAGCTCTGCCTTGTCATCCTGTGAAAGGAACAAGCTCTTGTTCAGCAAGTCGTTCAAGGGAAGCGCCACTCGCTGGTTCTTGAAGTTCGTGAAGTTTGTGAGGACTTGTCTGACCATCGCCCCTCCGGGAGACTTCCTTTCCACTATCTCTTCCAGGAGCTGCTCCAAGACTGCTTCAGGAACTTCGTCTGCCTCGGACAAACAAAGGCGGGAGCTTCTGGGAGCCTAGGGCCTAAGACATCTCTCACAGCCGGGCCCCGGTCCTCCAGCAGAACGTCCGACAGCAACCTTGCCAGCAGCACTTCCAGCCTCCGCTGGGCATCTTCTGTTGCTCCAATCCTGCCGGATTGTCGTGCGGCTTTCGCTGCACCGATGCAGGTCTTCGCCAAGGAGACGATCAGGCTCTCCACATCGGAAGTGGCGCAGTCGAAGACCAGCATGAAACCGCGGATCTGCATGGGGCCGTTGGGCTGTTGGGGGTGGACTTGGGACAAAGCCTGCTGAAGTGTTACTGCCCTGGACCTCCTCGAGGCGCTCCAGCAGGCCGAAGGCGTAAGCGTAGGTCTGTGCCGAAGGGTTCAGGGACGCCAGCTGCTCCAAGAAAAGCTCCAGGATCGGCCGAAACCTGGAGCCACAAATCAGCGGCGGAGCCAAGAGCGTTCAAGGCTGGGGAGGGCCGCACGGGCGCCGGGTCCTGCCTCTCTGTCTCAAAGGGCGGGGAAGGCACGAAGATGCGAAGCACCTCCGTGGCAGTCTCAGAAAACTCTCGACATTCCAGTGATGAGCTCTCAGCTTCCTCGTCCTCATCTCAATCTGATCCGTGACTACAACATCAATGCTACCAGTAGCTGCCCAAACCTGATGCGCACCTCCGCAAGGCACTTCGCGGCCCAAAGCCGCACTTCTGGGCTGGCATGGCGCATGACGCTCGGCTGGCAGAGGGCGCGTGCGGAGTCCAGGTCTCCCTTGCCTGCAGGAGGCGGTCATAAGACGAGCGCAACAAAAGGCAAAACATTTCCCAACAAGCGCAGTCATCTCCAAGGGCCTTGTGGCAAGGCTTTCAAGGTTTCGAATGCTTGCTGCAAGCTTTGCAGGGCATCCTCACGAGAGAGTCCTGGGGCCTCGGTTCCGCGACAAGGACATGTCCGACCACAGGCTTGCGATCTTAGCCAAGTTGCTGAAGCGGCACTGCTGACAGTGCCTGGTTTGGTCTCACGCTTTGTGCGACCACCCGCCATGGCTTCGGAACCCCAACGAAGGAAGTATGACAAACCAGCCAACACTTCTTGAGCCACACCAAATTAGCAGAAGTGCTTGAAGTTGGGAAACGTGAAGCGGCCACAGTCTAGGCCGGTGACGCTCTGGGGTCACGGGTCTCAGCTTTCCCCGCTCAGACCTTGACAGAAAGCACGTCGTCACCGCATGACTTCTCGAGGCTGCAGCAAAGCTCGTCACCCGTGAACACGAGCAAACACCAGCTTTGGCAACTTTCACTCAGCACGCCACGCTGACAGCCGAGCCACAGCTCGTTGTCTCAGGTGCGGGGGGCCGCCCTGCGCTCAGCTCTGCAGGCTCAGCTCATAGCTTCAAGAACTTCCAACGACTGGGCTCCTGGCATTGTCAGCTAAAGGGTCCGCATAAGGCGCTGGTTTTAGCCTAGCCGCTGATTCGCGCCGTCGTGCAATTGCTCTGCTGCCACAGCTCTCTCAATGCGGGGCTGCGGCGCCACATGTCGCACCCTGTCGACTCTTCGCACTTCCCTCAGAATCGGTGGTCTCGCAGGCTCCAGTCTGATGCCAACGTCCTGCACGTGGCAGAAGTTGACCAACAGCGGATCCTGCAGCGGTCCGTAGTTCTGCCTTCTCGCGCTCCCACGCATCAGCCAGGTTCGCCACCCCTGGTCACTTCCCAGAAGTTGAATATATTTGGGTACTTCGGAACTGCCCGAGAGCACAACCATTCGTTGGTAGCTCTAGAATCTGCACCTTTGGGCAAACACCCAGCCAAGATGCAGCCATCAAGGGTCGGCCAGTGCTTGATGCTGAGCTGCATGCGGACATGGTGTCACCCGTCCATGTTAGCCGGATCCAACCATCCTATGACTGCCGGAAGCTGAGGCCATCCAACACCCAACTATCCTGCCCGTCTGCCTGTGCAGCCAGTTGCAACCTCAGGCAATCGTCAAGACACGCAGCCACACTGCGTCACGACAAACGATGTGTGTCAGCAAGACTTGGGGGCTGGACAGCTTCCCAAGCTTTTCAAAGGGAGTCTTCTGGATCGAAAATTCTCGGCTATGCTTCCTGCACCCATGCCCGACGTGAACTAACCGTTGAAAAGGAGACGCAGCACGCGTCGCAGCTTGCCATACTGCAACCGTCTTGTGGGAGCCTCATGGAAGCAGATAGCTCCTGTCCGGTGATTGATCTCCCACTTGCAGATGCCTGCAGCTCTCGCCAGCAACGAACCAATTCCACGTACTAGGAAAGAATGCTGCAGGCTTGATCCATGACAGACTTAACTTGACTTCCTAACGGGCTGAGTACAGCAATGGACGAGAGATCGTAGGTAGCATGTCATGGTAACAAGTGATACAGAACTCAGACCTATGCTACCTTCAAGAGCACTGCCACGAAGTCTTAGAGAAGGGTTTCGAGTTTTCGTATCTGTGTACCCCCGCCAGAGTACCACCCAGTAGCCCACGGGCTTTCTATACCCCAGAGCATCCATGCAAAAGAAGCCCTTTTGCATCTCGTGAAGAGACCCAATTAAGACCGGTCTCTGGGCCCTGCCTCGAATTGGCTCAGGCTGTCGAGGAGCAGCTGCAAAGCCTTCATGCAAGAAAAAGGGACGAAGTTCACGTTGAGATGCACGTGAGGTGTTGGATAAAGCCTGTTCTAGCATGTTCTGCCTCCCTCCTGTGGGCTTGGGGCCCCCCAGTCTCTCCCTGTGCTGCTCTGCAGGAACTGCGAAGCGGTCGCCAAACAGGACAGCCGATTTCGCTGGAAAGAGCATTGACATGAGAGCCTCCTGCGCCGAATGCCACCTTGGCCTGCCCATCCAATTTCTGACTTGCGCCAAGGCTGGTCTTTTGAGGGGCCTCCTCTCCTGCGACCAACCATCAAACCTGCTCGGACGGAACATGGGAGGCTTGGAGCGCAGCATAAGGAAAGTTGGAGCACCTTGCTCTGGGATCGCTGGCTGATCTGGGCGACCGGGATCGTCCTGACAGTCCCGAACTAATCCCCGTTCGCCTGAAACCATCTTGGGACGCTCTCGGCCTTGCACAGCTGGCCGCCTGAGGGAGCAAGACCGCTCTGGGAAGACCGGCTCAAGTGCGAAAAAGTCAGGGCTCCCACTTATTGAGCTCGATCCACAGCTCGGTAAACGAAGGCACTGCCTGGCAGACGACGCTCGGTTGCACTGGGGCAGACACATCATTAACATGCTCGGGAAGCCTCGCCGGGCCTCGAAGCAAAGCAGAGACAGGAAAGCGCGTGAGAGTCGCGTCGGAAGGGGTCAACGACTGGGTCTGGGTTGCGGACCCCAGCGCCACGTCGACCTCCTTGACCTCGCGACAACGTGCCAGGAATCGAACAGCTTGTGGGCCGCCAACTGGGAACCCAGCCCAGCGTCGGTACTCTGCCGAAGCTGCCAGGCGGTCCGACTCGGGGTGTCATGGGAATTCCAGTTCAAGACATCCCACATAAGGCTTCTGAGTACTTAACGAGGTCCGGCCCGCCATCACCTCGCAAGCTTCTACCGAAGCGGCGAAGAAGCTCAGACTAGGCTGTCGCGATTTATTCTGGACCTGGCACGGGATAACCCTGTGAAGGGCTATCAATCTCTGGTCTGCAAAGCTGCCTGCTCTCATCAGTGTTGGAGAGCAGTCGTAACGGATCGGCTTTCCCTAAAGACAGTCTATGTACAGAAACCGTTGGGCGTGGAAATCGGCCCAACAGCGCATGACCACCGAAAGTGAACATGTCTAAGCCACTAAGGATGGCTTTGTGGCCCTCCATTCGAGGCGCACCCTGCTCAGCCATCTGTGCCCACATGCCGCTGCGCATGTTGAAGGACCATGTGTCTTCAAGAGATGTGAATTCTTCATCGTTGTACCCACCTGAGACGATGATTCGGTGCCCCAGGGATGCAGCGGCAGCATTCCGGCGGGCCAAGGGGGCTGCGGGAGCAGCATCTTGATCACCTGGGTCTCCTACACCTTTCCAGGCGTCAGGGTCCCAGCGCCCCATCCTCAAGTCCAGCACGCTAGTGGTCTTCATGAAGTTGTCCTCAACGAAGGGCCTCAAAAACGTTGACTCTTCAAACAAAACAGGAGGCGACATGCAGACGCACCAAAGGCATAGTGTCTGAGAAGGGGTTTGGCAAGCATATCGCACCGACTGAGCAGTCGACTGTGACCTTCTCACCCCGAAGCACACGATCAAGCGCTGAGCTTCATCATCTGCAGCTGCCACATGCCCGGCTGGAGCAGGTCCACCATCACAAAGCTTGTGGAACTGTTCTGTCGAAGAATCAAAGGTCCAGACCTTGCCCCATGCTGCTGCATCCTACCTTGAAGGCCTCCTACATCGCAAGGAAGAGTCCACATGGCAAGGTTAGACAAGTCGGACAAACTTCTGGGGTTAGGCGAGCGGGCTTACCCAGGAAAGCTGCTTCTCGGCCAAGCTGCAGCATCACGCGAACTGCCGTTCCCCAAACCACCAACCAAAGCCAACCTCTTTCCGTCCGGCAAGCCTGCCATTGAATCATGAGCGCTTACGGAACTGCACAGTTAAGTGCTTGGTCTGTCTGTTTCCGGCAAAGCCCCCGCACTTAAGTGGCTAGCGCTCATCACGGCCAGTTTTTGGTATGGTATGGTCCGCCCCACGCCTATTCAACCCGCCGTGCTAGCAGTCCCATGATTGCACCTGTCGCCGTGTGGAAGGCAGCTGCCGGCGGACGATTCTCACAACGAAGTTCACTCCAACGCGGGCCGTCTGGCTGAAAACGCAGCATCCAGGGAATGTCCGTGTCACCTTCACGGCTCCACCCGCCCCAAAGTAATGCTGGCCCAGCAGGGTCGGCTTGCGACGTCGTTGTAAGAGTCGCGCCCCAACGAGAACAGGGCCACGGTGTCGAAGGACTGCTGGGCTCTATGGTAGTGAACTTCACCTTACGTCGTCCAGTCTGATTGCACCTGCTTGCTCTGCATGGCTGGTGCAAATCTTGCAACTCAGGCATCAGCGCTGCCATACTCATCCGGTGGGAGATCCACCATGCAAAGAGTTGGAGAAGATTGCCATCCACCAGCAACTCTCACGGAGGTGTTTCCGCCAAACAGTACAGCTCTTTCTTGCCTCAGGGCCCCGTGGCAGGAGACTTTAATAATCAACGTCTCCCGCAACTTTGATCGGCTACGCAAGGCATCCTGTAAGACGAGGTGCGGCCCCGGCGCACCGCACAGCGCAAGCCCTTGCCGATGGGACGGCACGGCTCCAGTACATGGCACCTCTGACCACCACACCGGGCAGTCGTCGAGCGTGGCCAGTACCTGCGGCAAACCGGAATTGATGACTTGCTGACAGGATGCCTGTCGCATGAGCGTCGGCGCGCGTGCCCCATGCCTTGGCCACATCCCGCCAGCTGAGCTCCGGATGGCGCATTCGAGCCACATGTCCACACCTCGCAAGCCTCACTTTGTCTTACTCCATGTTCCAGAAAGCTCTTCCACATTGACAAGATCCCAAAATGTCTACCCCTCTGTCGCTCTCTGCCTCTCTGCCTTCTTCAGCACAGACGAGGAGGTAACGTTCGCAGCCCCCTTGTGCGGCTTCGCTGAGGAATTAGGACGGAAGAAAACGCTGTGCCTCTCTGTCTCTCTGTCTTCTTCTGCTTCTTCTGCGCAGTCTCTCGTTCTATGTATCTCTCGGTCTTCACTTCACTCTAGCAGGTAAGAGGTGCAGGAAGCCCCTGCACGCTGCGAAGTCGCACATCCCATCCAACACTTCCAGTTGGACCCGGGATATCGGGTCTGCCTTCCTGCCTTTCTTCCCTGGCTTTGGTCGGCGCGAGACTTCGGACAACGGCGGTCCGGCGTTCTGAAGGGCTAGACGGGCCCCGCCTAAGTATGGGGCTTTGTGGGGATGTGAGAGGCTCGTTGTATTCGGGTACAACTCCTGAGCAAGAACATATTAGTGTTCTGTGGCGCGAATGTTCCGCTGAATACACTGGACACCCTTCTGCTGAAGGCAAGTTTAGAGCACACTCATCTAGAGCAGAATGTTGAAATCAAGGGTTTGGCAGTGCCTAGTTCGGAAACGGTCCACGCTTCAGTACATGATACAAGTCGGGGAGAGGGATAATATGGAATAGTGAATAGTTACATGGCAGAGCTAGAAGACCGTTCCTGAGCTCTCTGTCTCTCCTTCTCTGAGGTTAGAGGTATCTCTCACTCTCTCTCTCCCTGCTCTTGTGTCCAGAATTTCTAGCTGCCAGCTCATGCAACTTCTCTCGAACTGAGCAGCTGATCCCGATGTCCAGCATTCTCGCCAGGACTCGGCCCAGATTTGCAGAAAGTCAGCGGTCGAAACACCGCTGCATCGCCTTCAAAGTCCAGAGAGCCACAGAATCCGCAGGCTGCATAAGACTGCGTTTCATCTTCTTGAACAAAGGGGACAAAGGGCAAAACTTCAGAGAGGCACGCTGTGCCTAACTGCAATATCTGCGGGACTGTGCTTCAAACGATGACCGGAACTTGCCTTACGAGCCTGAGCCTGACCCAACACCACACCCGCCACAGTACAAGGGACCAAGGCAGCAGAAAGGCGACGAGTGAAGCACACATTGGACGACTTCGCTTTCAGCTTCAAGGCTTCAGGCTAAGAGGTTTCTAGGAATTCCAAGCTCTGCGTCTCGGCATCGCTGGTTTCCTGTCGGAGTTGGCATATCGGGGATCTGAGCGGGTGTGGTGGCACTCCCAGACCTCAGGCCTTCCAAGAAGACAACTTCTCTGCAGCTGCTCTGACTCTACAGACCTGCAGGCTCTACAGTCTACTGCCCTTGACTCAGCTCTGGCCTTGCGAGGCTGCTTGCGATGTGCCGTTGCAACAGGGCACGGCAGCAGAAAGAGAGCTGCCTAAGAACTCGAGGACGGGCTGCAAGACTTCGCCGGGAAGGCTCGGGGCCATGGCCAAGCGGCCAAGCGGCCAAGCAAGGCAAGCTGGGCCAAACAGCTTCGGAGCATCCTTCGGCATCCTTCGCCCCTTCTTACAGACCCTTTTTTGCCTTGTCCTACTTAGTGACTTAGTAGACATCACGACGCGAAGCCGCAAGCTGCACGAGGCGATTGAGTTTGCCCGAGCTCCTCGCTCTGTTCACTAACGTGTTGTCGCCAAAGCCGGGCAAGGCGGGAGACAACCTGCAGATGCCAACTCTGAGTCCATCCAGCCGGGACGATCTCTAGCCGAAGCAAGTGGCTTGAGGCTTCACCTGCTCTTCCGGATCATCCTGCGGTGGCCTCGGTGGGCAAATCGCGCCGTGTTGGCAGAAGCGGAAACATGACAACTTCAGTTCACAAGCTTTTGCCACAATTTGTCAAGCTTTGCAAGGCATCTACAAGTATTGTGCTTTCTTCCGTTCTTTACGCTTCAGAGAGTGTACGGTTCGACCTCGTGACGGCCCGTGGTCTTTGCACACTCCGATTGGAAGCTTCTGCCGCCGCAGCAAAAGGTCCAAGCCGGACCCCTTGTCGCAGAGAGGGATGCTTCACGACAGGTACCTGTACAGCAGCGCTGCACCATTGAAGGAGGTGTTCAAAAATTGGCCGCTGCAGGTCTGTACAGTACTATGCTCGTGCACGGATGGGATACCTGCAAAGTCACTCAACAGATGTTCGTGGACTTTGCAGGCTGCCGCTGTACATCTCGAATATAGGAATTTGGCACGAAGCTCGCCGCAACCTCACTCAACAGATGTTCGTGGAGTTTGCTGGCTGCCCCTGTACACCTCACGTGCCCCTAGTTTCTAACTGAGGGGCTCTATACATGCCTTCCAAGTGCAGCCGACGCCCAACCGCTGTGGTTCCACCCAGTGCTGGGGGCAAGCTGCATGGCAACCGAGAGGTGCAGTGCCTCAGACTAAACAACATCCCGTTAGCAGGATCTCAGATGTTCTTCTTCACGCATGGTCCGCAGCTGCTTTGTTCTGCCTCTTGCGCAGCTTGGCCAGTTTGCGATTCTCGAATCTCCTCTTTGCCAGCTCTCCGTCCACGCAAAGGTGGCAGTGGAGACAGTCAGCACCTCTTGTGCAGCTGCCAGGTCGCCAGTACCATGCACAAGGTTTGCACAGCTTAGCCTCATGCAAGCTGGATCCCACGGACTCTGAAGGCTGCAATGTTCTCGGTCTCCCTGAGCTCGAGCTACTGACCGAACGTGGCGAAGCAGAGGTAGGGCTCGTGGTCTCCGTGCTCTCCGAGCTGGTGTCCACTTCGAGGTCCCATGAGCTGCCTCCCTGCGTTGTGTCGCCAACCAAGGTCGTCGACAGACTCCGATCACTGCCAACACGCGTGCGTGCCAGTTTCCAAGCTGTACGTGATGCCGACACGGATTCTGCGCTTGGCGAGGCCGGATCAGCTTCTTTACACCGGATGCTGTGCTCATCGCGCACCGGCACCCGGATAAGCTTCGGGACTTCCTGGTTGAGTCGCTCTTCACGAGTGTGCTCGCTCGCCACTGGGCTTGACAACATCGGCATGCTGTAGCAGCGCCTCAAATCGGTCGCGCTGGGGACATACTCTAGAAAGCTGTGCTTCTCCACCAACACGAAGTGCATCACCTCCTCGGTCGGGGCGGCCATCTGCTGAATGCCTTCTGTGAAGCCAGGGGCAACTACTCTTTCCTTGCTTCCCGAACTGCTGCAAAACGTCTGGTCAAGCTCCTTTGCAAACGTCTCAGAGTGCCGGAAAATCTCAGAGGCAACAACGGCCCAGAAAACTGCCGTTTCATCTCCAAGCCGCTGGTCGTCTAAATTCTGCCTATGTGGCTTCGCAAGCCAATGGCCGAAAGCAAGCCTCATTTGGGCTTTGGGTGCCCTTCCCCCCGAATAGCCAAAGGGTCCAAGCCGGACCCCTTGTCGCAGAGAGGGATGCTTCACGACAGGTACCTGTACAGCACGCTGCACCATTGAAGGAGGTGTTCAAAAATTGGCTGCTGCAGGTCTGTACAGTACTATGCTCGTGCACGGATGGGATACCTGCAAAGTCACTCAACAGATGTTCGTGGACTTTGCAGGATGCCGCTGTACATCTAGAATATAGGAATTTGGCACGAAGCTCGCCGCAACCTCACTCAACAGATGTTCGTGGAGTTTGCTGGCTGCCCCTGTACACCTCACGTGCCCCTAGTTTCTAACTGAGGGGCTCTATACATGCCTTCCAAGTGCAGCCGACGCCCAACCGCTGTGGTTTCACCCAGTGCTGGGGGCAAGCTGCATGGCAACCGAGAGGTGCAGTGCCTCAGACTAAACAACATCCCGTTAGCAGGATCTCAGATGTTCTTCTTCACGCATGGTCCGCAGCTGCTTTGTTCTGCCTCTTGCGCAGCTTGGCCAGTTTGCGATTCTCGAATCTCCTCTTTGCCAGCTCTCCGTCCACGCAAAGGTGGCAGTGGAGACAGTCAGCACCTCTTGTGCAGCTGCCAGGTCGCCAGTACCATGCACAAGGTTTGCACAGCTTAGCCTCATGCAAGCTGGATCCCACGGACTCTGAAGGCTGCAATGTTCTCGGTCTCCCTGAGCTCGAGCTACTGACCGAACGTGGCGAAGCAGAGGTAGGGCTCGTGGTCTCCGTGCTCTCCGAGCCGGTGTCCACTTCGAGGTCCCATGAGCTGCCTCCCTGCGTTGTGTCGCCAACCAAGGTCGTCGACAGACTCCGATCACTGCCAACACGCGTGCGTGCCAGTTTCCAAGCTGTACGTAATGCCGGCACGGATTCTGCGCTTGGCGAGGCCGGATCAGCTTCTTTACACCGGATGCTGTGCTCATCGCGCACCGGCACCCGGATAAGCTTCGGGACTTCCTGGTTGAGTCGCTCTTCACGAGTGTGCTCGCTCGCCACTGGGCTTGACAACATCGGCATGCTGTAGCAGCGCCTCAAATCAGTCGTGCTGGGGACATACTCTAGAAAGCTGTGCTTCTCCACCAACACGAAGTGCATCACCTCCTCGGTCGGGGCGGCCATCTGCTGAATGCCTTCTGTGAAGCCAGGGGCAACTACTCTTTCCTTGCTTCCCGAACTGCTGCAAAACGTCTGGTCAAGCTCCTTTGCAAACGTCTCAGAGTGCCGGAAAATCTCAGAGGCAACAACGGCCCAGAAAACTGCCGTTTCATCTCCAAGCCGCTGGTCGTCTAAATTCTGCCTATGTGGCTTCGCAAGCCAATGGCCGAAAGCAAGCCTCATTTGGGCTTTGGGTGCCTTTCCCCCCGAATAGCCAAAGGGTCCAAGCCGGACCCCTTGTCGCAGAGAGGGATGCTTCGCGACAGGTACCTGTACAGCAGCGCTGCACCATTGAAGGAGTTGTTCAAAAACTGGCCGCTGCAGGTCTGTACAGTACTATGCTCGTGCACGGATGGGATACCTGCAAAGTCACTCAACAGATGTTCGTGGACTTTGCAGGCTGCCGCTGTACATCTCGAATATAGGAATTTGGCACGAAGCTCGCCGCAACCTCACTCAACAGATGTTCGTGGAGTTTGCTGGCTGCCCCTGTACACCTCACGTGCCCCTAGTTTCTAACTGAGGGGCTCTATACATGCCTTCCAAGTGCAGCCGACGCCCAACCGCTGTGGTTCCACCCAGTGCTGGGGGCAAGCTGCATGGCAACCGAGAGGTGCAGTGCCTCAGACTAAACAACATCCCGTTAGCAGGATCTCAGATGTTCTTCTTCACGCATGGTCCGCAGCTGCTTTGTTCTGCCTCTTGCGCAGCTTGGCCAGTTTGCGATTCTCGAATCTCCTCTTTGCCAGCTCTCCGTCCACGCAAAGGTGGCAGTGGAGACAGTCAGCACCTCTTGTGCAGCTGCCAGGTCGCCAGTACCATGCACAAGGTTTGCACAGCTTAGCCTCATGCAAGCTGGATCCCACGGACTCTGAAGGCTGCAAGGTTCTCGGTCTCCCTGAGCTCGAGCTACTGACCGAACGTGGCGAAGCAGAGGTAGGGCTCGTGGTCTCCGTACTCTCCGAGCTGGTGTCCACTTCGAGGTCCCATGAGCTGCCTCCCTGCGTTGTGTCGCCAACCAAGGTCGTCGACAGACTCCGATCACTGCCAACATGCGTGCGTGCCAGTTTCCAAGCTGTACGTAATGCCGGCACGGATTCTGCGCTTGGCGAGGCCGGATCAGCTTCTTTACACCGGATGCTGTGCTCATCGCGCACCGGCACCCGGATAAGCTTCGGGACTTCCTGGTTGAGTCGCTCTTCACGAGTGTGCTCGCTCGCCACTGGGCTTGACAACATCGGCATGCTGTAGCAGCGCCTCAAATCGGTCGTGCTGGGGACATACTCTAGAAAGCTGTGCTTCTCCACCAACACGAAGTGCATCACCTCCTCGGTCGGGGCGGCCATCTGCTGAATGCCTTCTGTGAAGCCAGGGGCAACTACTCTTTCCTTGCTTCCCGAACTGCTGCAAAACGTCTGGTCAAGCTCCTTTGCAAACGTCTCAGAGTGCCGGAAAATCTCAGAGGCAACAACGGCCCAGAAAACTGCCGTTTCATCTCCAAGCCGCTGGTCGTCTAAATTCTGCCTATGTGGCTTCGCAAGCCAATGGCCGAAAGCAAGCCTCATTTGGGCTTTGGGTGCCCTTCCCCCCGAATAGCCAAAGGGTCCAAGCCGGACCCCTTGTCGCAGAGAGGGATGCTTCGCGACAGGTACCTGTACAGCAGCGCTGCACCATTGAAGGAGGTGTTCAAAAATTGGCTGCTGCAGGTCTGTACAGTACTATGCTCGTGCACGGATGGGATACCTGCAAAGTCACTCAACAGATGTTCGTGGACTTTGCAGGCTGCCGCTGTACATCCCGAATATAGGAATTTGGCACGAAGCTCGCCGCAACCTCACTCAACAGATGTTCGTGGAGTTTGCTGGCTGCCCCTGTACACCTCACGTGCCCCTAGTTTCTAACTGAGGGGCTCTATACATGCCTTCCAAGTGCAGCCGACGCCCAACCGCTGTGGTTCCACCCAGTGCTGGGGGCAAGCTGCATGGCAACCGAGAGGTGCAGTGCCTCAGACTAAACAACATCCCGTTAGCAGGATCTCAGATGTTCTTCTTCACGCATGGTCCGCAGCTGCTTTGTTCTGCCTCTTGCGCAGCTTGGCCAGTTTGCGATTCTCGAATCTCCTCTTTGCCAGCTCTCCGTCCACGCAAAGGTGGCAGTGGAGACAGTCAGCACCTCTTGTGCAGCTGCCAGGTCGCCAGTACCATGCACAAGGTTTGCACAGCTTAGCCTCATGCAAGCTGGATCCCACGGACTCTGAAGGCTGCAAGGTTCTCGGTCTCCCTGAGCTCGAGCTACTGACCGAACGTGGCGAAGCAGAGGTAGGGCTCGTGGTCTCCGTGCTCTCCGAGCTGGTGTCCACTTCGAGGTCCCATGAGCTGCCTCCCTGCGTTGTGTCGCCAACCCAGGTCGTCGACAGACTCCGATCACTGCCAACACGCGTGCGTGCCAGTTTCCAAGCTGTACGTGATGCCGACACGGATTCTGCGCTTGGCGAGGCCGGATCAGCTTCTTTACACCGGATGCTGTGCTCATCGTGCACCGGCACCCGGATAAGCTTCAGGACTTCCTGGTTGAGTCGCGCTTCACGAGTGTGCTCGCTCGCCACTGGGCTTGACAACATCGGCATGCTGTAGCAGCGCCTCAAATCGGTCGTGCTGGGTACATACTCTAGAAAGCTGTGCTTCTCCACCAACACGAAGTGCATCACCTCCTCGGTCGGGGCGGCCATCTGCTGAATGCCTTCTGTGAAGCCAGGGGCAACTACTCTTTCCTTGTTTCCCGAACTGCTGCAAACGTCTGATCAAGCTCCTTAGCAAACGTCTCAGCGTGCCGGAATATCTCAGAGGCAACAACGTCCCAGAAAACTGCCGTTTGTGCAACTCTTGAATTGCTTCGGCAACATCCAGCTGCACCCTGCATCATGCTGGTTCTGGAGTCCAAGGCCCAGGCTCTGCAACGACAGATTCCTCGCAGTTCTCCTAATCCAGACTCCGAGCTAGGTCACGGCCGCCCCACGAAGTCACTCTCACACTCATCGGACTCTCGGCGCGTGGCCTCTGAGCAGGCAGGCTCCTGGTCGAGATCACGCGCAGCGAGGCGAACAGCTTCAGACGAAACAGTCCCTTTGTTGCTGCATGTATTGTGGATTCAATGTGGCACGAGCTTCTCGTTCCGCAACAGACATGCCAAGGCTGCTTGTCACAAACTAGCTATCAGCAGTTGCTCGTAGATGTGCGAGGCCCAGCGAAAGCTATGTGATGAGCTTACCGTAGCCATCTCCGTCCTTCCGCCTCCTTTCAACCACCTGACCCTCAAAAGATGCGTGCTCTGAAACATCCCCGTTCACCCATGGACAAGGCGGAGATGAGATGGAGACTGCAATCAGCTCTGAGATCGAAAAGGAACATCAGGAGATTCTCCCAGGGACCTTGTCCTCCGCACTCGGTGCGACGGTGAAAAAGTCCTCCGAATCTTCGTCGGAATCGCTCAACTGAGCAGCGATGAATAACATGACCACTCAACCATCTTCTCCCAGCATTTCTGCTGCTTGGCTCCCCAGCACTTGCGCGTGATCTACAGCCACAACGTAAGGACGCTGCCATGAGGTAAAAATGCTTCTGCCCACGGCAGCCGGGGTACCGAAACTGGAACCTGCCGAGTTCACGGAGTGATTTTTGCCCCCGAGGCCAGTCAGCAACACACCCATCATGCCCATCCGTCTCTCCATGAAGCTGTCGGGACACCTCAAAGTTGCCTCAAAGTGAAGATTTAAAAACTTAGAAAAGATGTCGTGCTGTTCCCGCTTCGGCGCTCGCACTCTGTTCCCGCTTACATTGCACCTTCCAGTAGCATTTTGCAACACATCTCCAGCGCTTACAATGAACCTGCCAATTGACTAGAGTGCACGGGCCTTGTTCGGGAGCCATGAAGACGACAAGAAAAGGTGAATCTTTTCTGGAGCCAAAATTTGACGGGAGTAGGTGGAGATGTGCAAAAAATGTCCATGCTGTAGTATGCTCATTCATACCAGTGTATTTGCACGCATTCTGTAATTATTTGTGTTAATCAATTATGATGCCACCCTGTGTTCTTGCATGACATGATCTGCAGTATTTGGTGAGGTCTGAAGCATGAACCATATTAGTGAGATTTGAAGCATCAAGCAGGGCCAGCTTTGAGAAAGCTTTTTGCAACCCTAGACCCGCAGCGCGAAAGGAAAGAGTTGAGGCGAGTTTGCCTCAGAAGGCCAGGAACTCAGAAAGTCGGTGTCTCGTCAGCAAAGCAACGCTTACCTCTCGCCCGTGCCTGCATCCAACTCGCAAAGAATTCCCAAATCTCGGGCAGGCCAGCCTGTCTAGTCAAAACCACAAATGAAGCTACATGCAGGCTGCGCCTTGCCCCTTGCCTGCACGTCCCGGATTTTGTAGTACAATCGCCGCGTCCCTCGCGTGGACATCAGACCAGGAGCAGCGGGACGTGTCACTCATTCTGCGGATCCCACATTCAATGCTAATGCCGTTTGCAGAGATGAAGGCCTGCAGGAATGGAAGCAGAGAGATGGTCTCTGATGGGAAAGGCAGTGGAATAAATCCGCAGGCATGCCATCACAGCCGCTTTTCTGCTCGGGGTTCGCAGTGCTTCGTGCATTCCCGTCAGGGCTCAGGATTGACAGCTGGACTCGATCTTCTCAGCTTTGAGAGCCGGGACCTTAAGCACATGTCTCGCGAAACCCAAACCCTTGCAGGACTTCGGCAGGGCCTGGCCTCGTGCGAGCTGTTGAGCTCGGCAAAGTTATAGCACTCCTTATCCCGGCGCGTGTGTCCAGCTGCAGAAAGTCAATGAAGCCGGATGCCGAGTTGCAGTGTACGGTCGATGGTGCAGCACGATCTTCTCATGAGCCTCCTGGGAAGCCGCACACGGCGGTTTCGCCGCCTGGAACTGTCCCAAAGCAAACGGATTTTTCGAAGGACTCGGGCCGGCTGCAGCGATCAAATCATGCTGAGATGCCGAGATGGCGGGGCAAAGGCCAGATGGGCCATTGGGCCCTGCAGTGACGTTCGAAGCCACCCAGAACACCTTCCAGTTCAAAAGCAAACCGATCCAAGAGTGTGAGAGTCTGAGAGTCTTAGAGGCAGTGGCCCGGTGGCCTCATCTGTGGTTTTTCCCCCGGAGCTTGTCTTCTCGCTTCGGCAACAGATGCCACCGGAAGCATGTTTCTGGAGCCATTCGTAGGCGGAGCTGCTGACGGCCTGCTCGCGACAAGCAACGACTCGCGCTGGAAAGATCCCCAAAGGCCTGAACTTCTGCGTGAAGAAGTTCGGCAACACGGCGTGCGAGATCTGCAGGCGAAGTGAGACTTTGGACTGTGCAGGCACAAGCTGTTCGGTCCGAAGGAAGTGAGACATTAGTTTGTCTATGGTTGTCTCAGTATCTTCCATTTGTCATTCCGGTAGACCCCGCCTTGGGGGTAAAAACGGGCGGGCTGGCAAGCTTAGCTCTCGTTTTGTCTGACTCTCCTGCGTCGGTTTCCTCTTGTTCCGTATCCCTGACTACGAGTCCGCAGTTGGCATCCGCGACAGACTGAATGTGTAGTAACTGAACCGCATACCAACCCCCTCGCTACATCCGCAGTTTCCCAAAGTGTCGTCACGCGAAGCACATATGCTCTGTAGTGAAAGCAGAACACCGAAGTGTGGATCTCTGTGGCTGTGCGTTGTGCGCGATGGCCGTCGCCCTCTTGGGGACTCAGATTTTTCGCGAGTTAGGTGGCTGATCGGCTTGTTGCATATGCTGGCCGCTGCTGGCCTGTGTGCAACTCTTTCAGCTGAGAGTGTCGCACCGTGGCCCGGAGATCGGTGGCCACAGCGGCCTCGTCTGCTCGAGCTGCACATTGCGACCCATCGCAGCACTAGGAGTATCGTCCGAGACACCAGGCCGCCCACTCCACCTAGCACAGGCCAAGCTGCGTGGCACCTCTACATACCTCTACTCGGATCTGCTTCGAGTCTTCAACCGCAGCCTGTCGCCAGCTTGTTCAGCGAGGCAAGGAACTGTGAAAAGTTACCTTCAGGTGTCTGTCTTCACAGGCGCAAGACTCCAAGACATCCCAAGAATCGGAATAGCCGGGTGCCTGCGAGCTCCTCTCCTTTGATCTTCTTCAGGGCCTTCTCCTCATCCACATTGCGGACGCTCAGCGGGAGCCAGAAGCTGTGCTTCGAGTGATGTCCAAAATCCGTGTCACCTGGGTGCCCACCGCTCTGCTGAAGCTTCGACTCCACGCTGACACTGCTTGTTCGGGGGCGAAACTGGGCCAGCTGCTCTGGGGTTCACCGTCAAAGGGGAACGAGTCCCCGAGCTTTTCCTTGGAGCTGGAGCCAGTGATCGATACATCAGAAAAGATCCTGGATGCCTCTTGGGTCTGCCAGTAGACATGACCACCGTCTCTCACTTGTGAACCACTTGACAGAACTGGTTAGGGCGAGCTGCACGCACAGCGTTGGCTATGTGTTCCTTTCAGCAAAATCAAAATAGCAGAATGATGGTGACCCCTCAGCCCCCGTGTGCCTTCAGCTTGGGTCGGATGAGACGGATGTAGTCATCTTGGCTCATGTTCTTCACAGCCTCCTCTCCCAGGCTCGGGTCCACAGTTTTCGCCATGGCCAGCCTGCTTTCCAGCTCCACCTTGGTGTATTTAGGGCGTAAGGTTGGGGGTTTGGGGCTTCCTCCACTCATGTCCCATAAGCTACCGAGGCTCCCTGAGAAAGAGTTTGAGGCCTTCCGGCGCAGGAAGCTTGTCCGGCTTCGGCAAATCAGGGGGAGGAGGCACAACCTCAGAAGCAAAACAAAACCAACACTGGGCAGGCCTTAACCGCAAGCTCAGCATGCATCAAGCAGCGGAGGTGTCCGCATCTACCCCCATCGTCAAGAGCTGTGTGTTGAAGATCTCCGGTATCTTCCGCATCCACTTGATCTTCAAGAAATCCTTCACTTTCCTTGCACAGGATGGAGACTCGACTCCGCAAATCGCGGACCAGAGGAATTAACGTGCTGCCCGGGTGCTGGTGTACGGCATCATACCTCTACGACCCGGATCTCTAAACAAAGTGGCAGGGCTAACGACATCGAAGCAAGCTCGGAGAAAAGTAGCCAAGTTGCTCCTTTTGAGCCTCGCTGCGGCTCGTAATGGTACAGACGAAAAGACTTCATGATTGCAAGAAGTATTGCGAGATTGAGCAACCGCAGGCCCTAAAGCAACATCATTCTTGAGGCGAGGCGCTCCCAGAGGTGGGAACAATAATGGCAACTCCGAGAGTGTAGAATTGAATTCCTGCAGATCTTCCACATGCAGCGGCAGTTGCCATGTATGTCGGCAACGGGGCTTACAACAGAAACTGTAACGGAACGTAGTGGAGCTGTAACGGATTTGTCGCGGAGCTGTAACGGACCTGTAAAGGAGCTGTAGCAGAGCTGTGACGGAAGCTGTAACGGAGCTGCAGAAGCTGCAACGGAGCTGTAACGGACCTGCTGCGGAGCTGTAACGGAGCTGTAACGGAGCTGTAACGAAAGCTGTAACGGAGCTGTATAACGGAGCTGTAGCAGAAGCTGTAACGGAGCTTGCAACGGAGCTGCAACGGAAGCTGTAACGGAGCTGTAGCGGAGCTGCAGCAGAAGCTGTAACGGAGCTGTAGCGGACCTGCAACGGAGCTGTAACGGACCTGCAACGGAGCTGTACCGGAAGCTGTAATGGAGCTGTAACGTAGCTGTAGCAGAAGCTGTAACGGAGCTAACGGACCTGCAACGGAGCTGTAACGGACCTGCAACGGAGCTGCAACGGAAGCTGTAACGGAGCTGTAACGGAGCTGTAGCAGAAGCTGTAACGGAGCTGTAACGGACCTGCAACGGAGCTGTAACGGACCTGCAACGGAGCTGCAGCGGAGCTGCAACGGAAGCTATGACGGAGCTGTAGCGGAAGCTGTAGCGGGGCTGTAACGGTCCTGCAATGGAGCTGCAAGGGAAGCTGTAACGGAGCTGCAACGGAGCTGCAGCAAAAGCTGTAGCGGAGCTGTAACGGACCTGCAACGGAGCTGTAACGGACCTGCAACGGAGCTGTAACGGAAGCTGTAACGGAAGCTGTAACGGAGCTGTTACGGAGCGGTAACTGAGGGCCCAGGGTGGGTAGCGCAAATCCCATGGCAAATGATGGTAGAGAACACCCCCAACCCGACACTCAACAGCAAACAGAAAGAAGTCCCTGCAAATTTGTGATGTGCAGATAGGATGGAAGAAGAGAGCATGCTATGTACCATTGATATTGTTATGACTATGAGCGTAACCGGTGTTCGCTCTGTTTGTGGGTATGTACACAGATGAAGAATTAGAGAATGAATTTACATAATGTATATATATATATATATATATATATATGTATATATATATATATGTATACACACCTGCCATAATCTCCGTGCACTTTCTGCAGGCGAAATGGGATTCGGTTGCGTTTTGGAAGCTCCCAGCGTTGGCTGTGGGAGGTTCGGGGCTTCTATGCCTGTGATGCTCGTCACATCTTGTCCCGTTCGGCATCTTGCGATATCCAACATGCATGCCGTTCGCCAAGAGTGCCGTGTGCGTCACGTGACTCACATTAGCCGTCGTCAGCCAGTGCTACCGTGGATGTTCGATCGACATCATGCCTCCCCCGAATGCATTCGCCTGGTCTTCCACACTTTGGAGCTTGTGGCGAATCTATCTGAAGCAAAAGTTCAAGATGCTTCACAACTTTACTTTCCTATAAGAGAAGAACCGAAACGTTATGAACTGCTAGCTTTTCATGCGCTCGGTCACTCTGGCATGTCATACGTCTCGGGCCTCACTGGTCTTGCTGGCCAGAACGTCCTTGAGCTTGTAGCCTGCGCATTCCCGACTGCTGTCCTCTGCGAATATAACCGTATACCATCGCTGTAAACGTAGATTACACGGCGTCTGTTGCTGCGGCTTCTAATCTTCCGGAGCGGAGTCGATGCCTGTTATTTCGACCATGAGCCGAATGTCATGTCCTTAGCTCTCACAACGGACACCAGGACGGACTGCAGACAGTCCAGTGAAGAATCGCTCACCAAGCATCCTTCTGATCCGTCTTTGGCCAGAATGCATCTCAAACCTTCCTTGCACACCCCAGTCACAAGGAAACCCATCTCTCTGGCAATTCTCGTGTATCTGAGACGGTGCAGGTGCTGCCTTCTCCAGCAGCGGTGGGAGGTCTTTTACTATTGCCGAGGCAAGGGTGTCCAAGCCGTCGCTCTGGGGCATGAACATGTAGATCAAATCGCCAAGACTGGGCGGAACAGGCTGTGCATCTTACCAGCATCTGGGGCAGTGGACAAATGCTGGCTAGGGCGGCAGCATAGACCCGTCCTCTTTTTTGAGAGCTGCCTGACTGGCGGAGGGCTGTGCAGGCTGAGGAGGCCGCTTGGGAACAGTTACAGTGTCATGTACCAGATAGCTTCAGGACAAGGTGCACTTTCATCATTCACCGTCCTGAATCAGCATGTGCGAGGGATCTGCGTGTGCTAGGCCGTCTCTTGTCTAGATCCCTTGACAGCCAAGCGTCAGCTGCACTTGGAATGGAGGCAGCTTGGGAGTGACAGGGCTATCTAAATCGACTGGATCCACAAACTCGCCCTCTTGATCTGGGTCCGCCTCTGTCGCCTCTCTCCTGTCCTTGCTTGTCACATCATGTGGCCAGGCAGTCACTATTGCAGAACCCAATTCATTTGCCAGGGAGCATCGTTTTGCGGTCGCAATGCGCCGGCATGGAGCAACAGGACGATGTATGAACAGCATAGACAGCGCATGCCCAGGGCCTGCTCAAGGACCCTTCGAGTTCGTGGTGAGGCGAAGCGGAAAATAATCTGCTCAGAGCTTATGGTCAAGGTGTCGGGTCAAGCTTGGACTGGAAAAAAAGGCGGCCTCCTCTACACCCCGTTATGAGTCAGGCTCCCTTTGAGTTTTTCGAGTTGGTGGACCGACCCTAGAAGCAGCCAGAATTCGTAGCGCGAGCAAAACATCTGGCTCTAGCTGATGTCCTTCCTCTTCTCGCTGGTAAAGAAAAAGCACCCTGTATCCGCCGGACCTACTCCCAACCTGCCTCACACGTCACCTCCAGCAACCTGTAAGTCTATGGGTCGATGTGAGACCAACCCCCGGAAATGCGAACATTAGAACCGCTAAGGATGCCACATCGCCCTACCTTTAAATTTTTTTTAAACCCTGCATGTTGTGCACCCTACAGGACCAACCAACTGCCCCCTTCTTAAAATGCTCGAGATGCTTCCCGCGTCGTGTGCTAAATCCCGGTCCCTGAATAGCAATGGAGCTCGGAAAGGAAGCTTACGGCAAGCGCAATCTCAGGTCCTGGCGAGCTAACGTAAGTCGAATTTGGCAGACCTCATTCCGAGCTCATCTCGCGCGTTCCTACGAGCACGGCTAGAGATCTTGCTGCGCTGCAACCAGAAAGCTCAATCCATTGCCGGGGAAGCCCGTCCCAAACCAACACCCCTGACACTTTTTTGAGCCAGGTCAGGCTGCAAAGGCACTACTGCGAACAAGCACCCCAGATACGACGGCAGATAGCTGCTGCAACGAGACCTTGTTGTAGCAATCAAACTCGTCCATTGGCACTTCTGTGAAAGCGCGGAAAGCACTTCGCACCTCGAGCAGGAACAGACAGCCCGAACAGGCCACGCACTCGTGCCTCGACACCTACTGCTGCTTTTCCAGGAGGGCACTCTGTGGCACGGGCTGACTCATGTGCGAACACGGCATCATGCCCGCCAAACCTGCTTGAACTCACAGCCTGCTAGTGGTCGAATTGAAACTGATAGGGAACTCTCGGGTTCTGACGCAATCAAGTCGTATCCGAATCGCCGCAGCCTTAAGACAGCTAGATTAGATTAGATGGCTAGACCTCATGGAAGCGCGAGGCTGTGGCAGCTGCACCTCGTAGGAAAGTGAGCACCCTCGAATCGGCACCTTGCGTGCAGGATCAGGATCCACGTCTGATTACACCACAGTGCCCGGAGAAGCTACGAGTAATTTCCAAACTGACCGACCTGGCCTCCTCTGGCTGCGAGAAGTTCGCGAAGAAGTGCCACAGCCTCGACTAACAAAACCAACGGCAGATGCTAGCCGCGGGAAGCGGCTCAGCGCCCGGCTCGGGATGGTACAACATGGACCACCTCATCTCCAACAGGCTTCAGCATGCTCCAGCATTCCGCAGAGCTGGTCGTGGCGCCGTACCTTCTGCGGTTTAGAGTAAGTTCGCAGCTGGTACGGCGGTGGAATTGATGGGTTGGCCTTTCAGCAAGCTTTCAATTCTGCTTTCTTTACCCAACAGCTTGGGACTAGGCCTCCACAAGAACGATCCGCGCTTGGACCTCCGGCCTCGAGTGCTCCCAGGGATGGAACTGCTGGGCTCCACCGCTGCGCAGAGCCATGCACCGGCGCACGATACTCATATCTGTCCCAAGCCTAGCGGCCTAGCCCTCCCAACGTTTCGATGTCCACGGCAAAACATGTCAAAGTTTTGGAGGAAACTGCCAGAGGATTGGCAGCAGCAAACTCACCAGACTACCACACGTCAGCAAGTTGGCTGTTTGTGAGACCCCAACAGGAGTGTTTCCAGGACTGGGCAGTCGAACGAGTCGATGTCCACCTGGTCAGGGCTCTTTGACAGCTTTTTCCATTGTAGACATTTGTCCCGCCAACTCAACTCAGAAGCAGGTTGTCGATGTGCGACAATTGGCTGCTCTACCTTTATCTACAGAACCTCTGTAACCTTCAACGGAGGCCAGGAAAGGCAAGAAGCCTCAAGACGAACGCGAGGCAGGGCATCTCGGCAACGCTGCACAGAGCACTTGAGAAGAGGGCGACGAAAGCTAGGGGAAAGGAAGCGTAGGCGCAAGCAACAGACTTCAAACAGAAGCAAACTGAGGGACCTTGCCAGGAAGGGGGAGGGGGAGAGGCTTGAGGGTAGGGGGGAGGGGCCCCCCCCCTCTACCCTATGCCACGTGCCACAACCTTCAAGGAGGGAGGGGAGGGAGGGGGGAGCGCGCTGCACCTTATCCTTCGAAGATACTTCATGAACGAGGTGAAGGGGGGGGCGGCACCCCCTCCCCCCCCACCCCCAACTCTTGGACTCCCCACCTGATAAGGTGCAAACCCTGTTTTTTCCCTAGTGCCTTAATACAAGGTGAATTGCTAAAGGACAACTCCCGCAAGCTCAACAGAGCTAGCTTTCGTGACATCGGAACTGGAAAGGCAAACACTGGCATAGATTCCATTCCCCGTCAAGACACCACCCAAGAGCCCTCCGTGCCGCGCGGAGAAGAGTTTCAAGTTTGTCGTTGTGCAGGTCATGATGCTTACCGTGGTGCTCGTGATAGTCTTGGTAGTCGTAAAAGTCTTGGTGGCAGTGAAAATCTTGGTGGTCGTGGTCGTGGAGGTACTGATGATGGGCGCAGCGGCGGCGGTGGGGTGACAGTTGTGGTGGTGGGCTTCGCACCAGCTAACAGCCTCGCACAGATCGTGCCGAGCCACCAGCACAAGGACTATAAGCCAGCTAACATGTCATGTCAGCATGCTCAACACCGACACCATGCCTTCATCACGTCTATCTCTCTCGCGTCGGACCTTTGCACAGACTGCAAGGCTTGGCATGCATGGAGACAAAGGATGGGAGAGGGGGAGAGAGAGAGAGAGAGGGGGAGAGAGAGAGAGAGAGAGAGAGAGAGAGAGAGAGAAAGAGAGAGAGAGAGAGAGAGAGAGAGCGAGAGCGAGAGCGAGAGCGAGAGCGAGAGCGAGAGCGAGAGCGAGAGCGAGAGGAAGGTAGACGAGAGGAAGAGAGACACAGTCAGAGAGGGAGAGAGACAAAAGAAAAGAGAGAGAGAGAGAGAGATAGAGTTTGGGCATCTGTGTGCGCGTTTCTGTGTGTTGGGATAGCAAGGGGATAGAGCGGAAGAGAGCGAAACACAGCAAGAAAAGTCGAAAGGCAGAGCGAAAGATGGCATCTTGCCAAACAGAACGTCGCCACGGTCTCGTACAACATATGAGGTCCGAGATACCACATGCGGCTGCGAGCACATTTCCAAGCTGCAGCTTCCAACGGGGCCGACTTTCCCAGATCAAGCTGGGATCCGAAAATAGCCAATGTCGCTGGCGGTGTCCGCCGGCGACCGACATGGTGGCAGAGAAGCAGTGCTGGCATCCATCCTGCCAAAGCTCCTTCTTGGAGCCGACAAGTGCCCCGGTAGATGGATCAACTCAAAGCATGGTGATTAATCAGAGGGTAAAGGTTTTGTTCTGGTGTCCACAGGCGTCGCCGCGGAGCGCGGGCCGCCCGACCGCGTAGCCGCGTGACCGCGTGGCCTGCGTGGCCGCATGCCGCATGGCCGCAGGGCCGCGGACCACGGGCAGCGTGTAAATCATCAGAGAGAAGAGGAAGAGGAGACGGAGGCAGAGCGACAGAATAGTGCCTGAGAACATGCTGTGGATGTTGCAGAACTGGGCGGATCATGTCGAGGATGCCATGTGGCGTGGCCTGGGCAATGCACACCATCTCAAGGCCACTGGTGCCTGCCCAAGCTCTTCGCCTCGGAGCAGACTACCTTCACATTGGGCAGGGCCTCACGGTGACCTACAGGGAAAAGTTAACGGCTGCTTGTTCCCTTCTCAAGCCGCTCGATGCTGGCTTCCACTTGCCGGCGTCTGCAGGTCTCTATGCTGAGGTGCAAACGCGCACACAATCCCGGCTGGCGCTCCACAGCAACGCCGCTGGCGTTTGTGGATCCTTGTGGCGCCGGAAGCTACAGCTTGCCGAGCAGCAAAGGTGTCCGAGTCGGAGACGCGCGTACTCATACAGCGGGTCATCAATACTGCGCACACGGCACCCATTCCGCACGAGTCCGACAACTAGTGATCTCAGGCACGCACTGTCCGTCATGTGCACCGACATTTATGTAGCGCCTGACAAGTCACACGTCCACTCGACTGGACGGAAGGCCGAAAATAAACTCACGTCTGTTCAGTGGAAAGTGAGACCTCGTCAACGAAAAGCCAGCATTCACGATCATCTGCATGGTTGACCATATATTCTGTGTGTCCACCTCAGCATGACATCTGCACAACGTTTACACCCTTGGGCTCTCGAACTGTTAAGAGGTCTCATAAGGAGCTTCATTCCGCTGGTCGTTGATGCAGCTTGAACTACAAGGGCTTTCCCTGCCGCAGATGCTCTGACATCCGACCGGCTGCCATTTTGCAAAATAAGCCCGACCGAAGCCGTCTTCCGACAAGTAGCTCAAGCCGGCTCAAAGCACACTGTTAGCGTCTTTGGTCGCACTGTGGCGCTGCGCAGCTGCACAGCCTGTGCACAGCTTTGGCCCAGGCGAGCTGCTCGTTGCAAACAAACTCGCCACTGGAGTGTCGCCGACGGTGCTTGGAGATGGTCTCCTGGCGAGACGTTTCGGAGGCTGACTCTCAGCTCATGCAAAGCCTCTTACACAGCTTCCCAAGCTACCACCATGGACGTCTTCAATCGCCAACACGCGCTGGAGTCCAATCAGGCATGCAACTCACAAACGACACGTAGCAAGCTTCTCGACAAGAAACACCTACGCCATGCCAAGGGAGGTTTACCACAACTGGCAAATCCATTTCTTCCAAGCCGGATCTAATGACGGTGACAGTGCAGAAAAGATCATGCGTGGCCTGATACTCCTCAACATGTGCCAGGAAGTCCTGCAACGCTGGCTGGAGAAGAACATTCGGGGCGAATAATCGCTTCCGTCTACGATTCTCGGGTAGCTGCAGAAATCGCCGACAAAGATCCATGCTCGCCCGTTTCAGCACCACACTGTCTCATCCTAGCACGTGATCTAGCGCAACCTAATGTGGCGTTGATCACCGAGATGGGTCGGGATCGATGGTTTCGCTTTGCGAAACCCGGAGCATAGGTGCGGAGGTTCGGCCAAGCACCGAAGCCCGCAGCAAGATTCAGTCTTCCGCGCTTGTTTGGAGCTGTGAAGAGTGTGGTAGTCAGATGTAGTCAGTCGATTCATAGCTAGGAAGGCTGAAACGTTTTCCGCGCGTTTGCATCGTCAGTGTGGGACACGCCGTTGACTGGCCGCGCTCTCAAACCCTCCGAGGCCAAGCTCGAAGCGCAGCACGCTGAGAGCCTAGGCACACACACACAATGATTGGCTTCAAGGCGGGGTGGCGTTCCCATTTTGCTGCTGAGGGTCTGCCTCTGGCGCTCCGATGGCGGGTCAAAGTCGTTCCCTGGCGGCTTGTACTCCGGCCTGCCGCGCACCGAAAAAACAGGGCATCGCTTTGTGAACACTCTTCACGTCGCTGGGCCGGCCCTGGCCTTCGAACTCGGAAGCAGCCCCCCTTGAGCTTGCCACCGAGCAACCACCAAGACTGAAGACCTCCAAGCCTAGGATCTGCAAGGCAACCACCGGGGACTTCAGAATGATCGGGTACGAAGTGCCATCCGTCATCCGACCGACTGTCAGAGCAAACTGACCGATCTGGTCTAGCACCGGGCAAAGAGCGAAAGGCATAAGTAGCATCGGAACTCTCATCATTCATCATACTGCTTCAGACAAGGCTCATCTCTAAAACTGCCACACAGAGCTGTGTCACAAAGTTCACCGCCAGGACCATGATTGAGACGTAAAGGTGCCACTGGTAAGACATGAAGTTCAGGTACAGGTATTCCACGAGAGCATCCTCATGAACAAGCTCACACGCAGCTGGCAATACATAACACTGAGCAGCAAGCAGCAAGAGCAAACGCAAGACGTAACCGAGACTGGGATCGTACAGTTCGACTTTTCGAGCTGCATCTTTTTTCCTCGGTCCAGTAAATGTTGATGTGCCGGCTCTTTCTCAAATCATGAAGGTGCGAAACCGCTCCCTCGTCTTCCATCCTTCCTCTCCTTGATTCTCTGTGCAAGCCCGGTCTCTGCGCTCGCTCCCCCGATGTCGCTTCGGGCAAGGAGGCGCAGTTTGGGTCCGGCCGCAGCACAGCCCAGGCCAGGAGAAGCAGCGACTGACGGCTCGTTTTGGCTTGGGTTTTGCGCTCTCACACTCGCACAAGCCTGACGAGGTCTCTCGGTATGACTGCGCACTACAAGACGGTGAAAGGACTCAGGGTTCGCCGACAAGCAGAGGCCCAAAGGCCCGGATGTTAAAGATCTCGAAAACAGCGCGAAAGCAGCTACTCTTAATATCAAGCAGATTTGTGCAAGCGAAAAAGCGATCACCTGGAACACCCTCATAGCAACTAACTAGTCCCCGCAAAAATCACCCTCGGCCCTATCCCATAAGTGAAGAATGTACCCCAGCAGCCGAGAAAGCCAGACCAACGGGGCCAGCAATCTCAGAACACGACCCAAGTGTGAAACAAGGCATGCAACCCCCTACATCCGAAACTCAGCACATCGGTTTCTTGAACTACTGACCGCTGCGCTTGGAACAAGCAGATTTCCGAGAGGGAGTCGAGTTCTCTGCAGACAGACGGAGTGATGCCAGATTCCTGCCTTCTCGATGACTGTGAGGCCTTGAAACGTTAGGATGAAGGCCACGAGCAGTGTGCCATACTGCCCTGCAAAATCAAAAGAGTGCAAAACGAGTTTGGTTGAATCGCTGTAACTACATACGATAAGTGAAACGATTATATTACTGTTCTTGCCAACTAGTGCCATCAGTGATATCGTTACTATTTTTGCTACTGTTACAAGTACTATCGTGTCATCCATCTTTGAGTGGACACGGAGCTGCCTCCCAAGGACTGGCTGTTCAGCACGACGGGCACAGAGCAGATCCAAAATACGCCGGAAACCATCCTTACACCGCTTTGCAGAGAAGAGACCGAAGCAGTGCAAGCACATGGTGGCCTCTAGCTGCTGCCCCAGCAACATGAGGATAGTAGGTTTGCCGATGACACGCCATAATGCCAGAATAAAGTAGTTCACCAAGATCAGTAGCACAACAGAACGAATCTGATCCACCATGGTGCCAAATACCACCTTAGCTCCGACACGACTACAGTGCAGGAGTTCTACTTCGATTGGGTCTGGCAGATCAGACTTTGAGGCTTTGACCGCGAGCATGACAACAAAGAAATACAGTGCAACGGCGAGCTCCATCATGCGGGCATAGACAGGGGCCCGCTTGTGCTTCAGCTTGTCGAACAACCAAACCTCGGCTGGGGCAGTGCTCCCACCGGAATCATCCCGCCTTCGCGACTGCGACCCTGCGTTCCTTGATGGCACTTGCTGTGCACCTATTTTGGCTTTCCTCCTGTGTTTGCTGCCTGGCGCCTGAAGAACCTGCAAGCTGCAGCCGCGTGGCATCATATAAGTTCGCTCGGGGATCGGCTTTGCTCGCTGCAAGTCGCTCCTCAAGATTTACCACTTTGGTGTCCATGTGGCCTCACCAGCAAGCAGACACATCTCCATCCTGAACTTGCAGCACCCTCGTCGCTGCAGGCCAAGCTGCGATCAGCATTGGACGCCCCGACTATGAAGCACCAGAACTCGGATAAATCGTCGCCTGAGTGACCCAAGTGCGCAAGGCCTCCACAGCCGTACTCACTCACCAAGCCCAACTCACAGCCGGGATCACATGTGAACAAGTCCTGTCCTCGTGGCTTACCGATCACATCCGATCACAAATCTATATTCGCCTCTGCCTCCCAGGTCCTATTTCGGGCATGATCTACTTGGATCTCGCTCTCGAGGCCAAAGCTTTGCATCCCGCACCTTCCCCGAAAGCAAGTCCCCAAGCTTGGCAAAGGCAACCTGTAAGAATGACCTGTCCCAGACTGCAATCCTTCGAATTTACGCACGACAAGAGGCGAATCGACCATAGGGTTGGCTGTGGGCAGAAAAGGATGGGGCCAACAACCCACACCTGGGCTGATGATATCATCGACACTGCAACCGGCGCAGCTGCAACAGCTTTTTGCGCCGTCGACTCGGGACATGTGAGTCCCCCTGTTTCGTATTCCAAGCATCCACGGCTGTACCCAGCAGAATCATCATGGGTAGCGCGGCGACGTTAAAAGTCTCTGCCAAGAACCTGCGATATCGACCGAAATTGTGCCCAGAACTGTCAGCGCAAGGACTTGCTTGGCTGCTGGCAGGCCTGTAAACGGCATACATGATCAGAATTCGCAGGGCAGGGTAGTAATGACTTTCCTGGGTAAACACGCAAGCGCTGACGACGGCGGACAAGCACAAGAGACTGCACAAACAGCCGCTTTGAATCAAGGGCAAGTGACTCTGTAGAAGAAGTAGCAATCTCCTGGACTTGGGTATGCTTTTGGGTATGCCTTCAAACTCACCAGCGCAAGCATTTGTGGTTGAATCAAGCTTCGCCAGCCGTAGTGATCATTCGCCATAGGTCGCCCAGTGGAGATGTAGTTCGCCAGCCCCGTCTGCATCGTTGAGCCCACAGCTTCTGCGATGGACTTGTTCATGAAAGTGAACCTTGGAAGGCCGTCCAGGTGCACAAAATTCAGACCTCCAGCAACCTGAAGTTGCACATGCTAGCTTTGAGACGCTTCCCGAGGCCAGCACACGAGCACTGCGCCTGGCACAGATGGCCTCGGTTCGAGAGTATGTAACCATTTCCGCAAATATGAGGAACGGCCCGATGCCATTGTGTGCACCTCCAACTCACAGCCAGGGCCAGGGCAGGAAACGGATGATGCCCTCCATGACTCCAAATTCCAAGGTCAGCTCCATCAAACGCGGGAACCTGAAACGATGGACATAATCCCAGAAATTGCAGTGAAGAGCTTGCCACTTGCTGTGCCCAGCATGTCTTGCCCGTGCCCAGAAACATCGCCAGTGTTCCGAAAGATATGACCCATTCAGCAGCCAGCAGAGAGTCCAACTTGCCAACATCATCGAGACTTTTTGAGGACAGGGTCAAGAGAACAAAGATCACGACCTCTGCACAGGCCACGGCAACGGCAACAGCTAATCACGACACGACACGTGCTGCTGAGCAGCATAAATCCTCATCGAAAGGTCTGTAACGACGTTGTACAGGTAGAACCCCACCGATGCGAAATAGAAGGAGAAGCTGTCGGCGATGTTCAAGCTTCCCGTCCTGTACCAGTCAAGGAAATCAAGCTCGCAGGAGCCAAAGCAGAAGTGAGTCGACCGAACTCGAGATGCACAAAAAGGGCCAGTCAACAACATCAGATCGCGCCCAGAGCCGAAGATCAGCCGAAGCACAGGATCTTCAGATCTCTGGAACGCATGACGCCAACATTGCCACTGGCCACTTTGGTAAAGAACAAAGATGCAGAGTTGAAGGACACCTCTCTGCCTTTCTCCCACTCCAAGCAGTCCACATGTTTCGAAGTTTCTCCACCTGAGATCGACGACAACTTGCTGTTCGGGTTAGCTTTCCCACAACCCCTGCGACTGCAACGGGCTGCAAACTATTATGCAGCATGGCGGCGCATGAGCACGTTGAAACCAGCAAAGATGTCTTCTGAAAGGTTCAGAATGGGAGATGCCTTCGAGACAGAACCGCGGTTGGAGGCCCAAAAGGCATCGAAGAAGTCAGGATGCCTGAGGACAGGAGCCACTCTGACACGCTCTGCGGTTCCCGACCTCCTGGAGGCCTCAACCCAAACATGACTCTTGCGGGCAAGGCTCCCGTAGTGCATTCGTGCCCCAAGCCCCGCCAGGAACCGCTGGCAAATAGTTCCGAAGGTCCACTCTGCATCGGCCATGGCAGCACCTCCCAAGAGTCAAGCGCAAACCAGAACAGGAACCCCGCAGAGGATAGCCGATAGCCACCTACTGCACCGTGGCTTCCAGTGAAGATGTGCTCACGAAAGCCAATGATGCGTGCTTGGACCGTCCTGTCAGGAGCTCATGGATCTGAGTTGCGAGAGCACGTGGCGTGGGATGTGGGACCTCCGGTCGCAGCCCGGAGGCTGGAAATGTCGCAGCACGAAGGGCACCTTGCAGGCCTGGGCTTGGCATTCGGTGCCCACGACGTCGTCACATCCAAGAGAGAGCGAAGAGGACTGGAGGGGCCCAGCCTCCCCGAAGAAGGCACCCATGTTCGCATCCATCATCTGCAAGTAGTGGCCCGGCGCGAAGCCTTGGCCGCTGCGACTTCACAAGGGAAAAGCTGAGACACCTCCAGTCATTGCAGGCAGGAAGCGAAGTGCTCCCAGCTGGTTTCCGGCCTTTCCCTGAGTTTTCGCGGCTGGCGGACGAGGCTCCAGCTCTCCCAGCACGAGTGGATAGACTCGTGGCAAGACTTCCAGCACCTGAGCATCCATGACGGCCTCAAGCCTCAAGATGCCTAATGGGCGCAGGAGCCTTGACGATGTTTTCCTCGGACTGGCCCTTCACGTAGTTCCTCAAATCACTCAGCACAACACTTTCGGGAAACCGCTCATGCGCGTGCCCTGGACGCGTGGGCCTAGAGCGGAGGAACAATGCAGATGAGTGCCACGCCTCACTACCCCTGTACGCCAAGAGTCTCATTGAAAGCCAGCAGCAACGAGGCAAACTGGACCCTGCCCGTGAACTTGTGTTCACGGGCCACATAGCAGGTCACCATCTCCCGCAGTGACGGCCTGAGCAGGGCAACGGGGCAACATGAAACTGATGAATCCACACACACACACACACACCATGTATGCATGGATTTATGCATGCATTGAATTTCATTGAATCAACAATCTCCAACATTCCCCAGATGTCCAAAAAACTCTTTTCTACTTTGCAAATTCTCCCATGATCTACGAAATCCGAAATCTATAAAACTTCCTTATTTTTCTTTCCAACCAAACACTCATTTTCGGACTCGCCTTGCACGGAACCTGCGGATGTGCTTTCAACTTCGGGTAATGTCGACGTTTTGGACATTTTGAACATACTCCAAGAGTGGCGCTACTAATCAGGCGCGGCACCTGGCCAGGTCAGCGTTGTAGTCACCTGGGAACTGCAGAGAAGGGGATCTGATCTGTCAACATGCTTCGGCACGAGGTGCTCCCATATCTGAACTGCCATCCAGCAGCATACCAGGTAGACAGGATAGTGCCGATACTGCAGGAGGAGCCGTCTCATGTCTTGGTCCACACTCTCTTTGTACCTCTTGTTGCCGTAGGTTTGGTGAGCGATGAACAGCTGCACCAAGCCTGCACGGACTGAGCTGGCACGGGCTAAGAGAGCTGATGAATTCAAGCTCCCTGCAAGTCCTGCCAGGGTCTTGGGCGGGCTGTCAGATGCCTGGACCGCTGGGAGCATGTCCTCGGAAAGCAAGGTCAACACTGAGGGCCCCAATGCTATCCGCTATCGTCGCAGCACGTGAGTGCAAACCCGCACGTCGCTCTCGCAGCTGAGCTTCCAAGACCTTGTGGTACTCAATCGCACCGGCGACGGTGCGGTAGACGGTCCTTGCACCAGACACGAAGAGGAATGAACCCGCCATGTGCGGGCTTCACGGCGTGAACTCCACAGCGGGCCGAGCGTCTGAGATCGCTGGGATGCCCAAAGCCGAACCTGCAGGTGGAGCTCTCGGATTTCCTCAAGGAGATCCGGGTCCTGAAGGCACAGCAAAGAGCCACAGCGGCATAGCGTGCAGTCTCAGAGACTCACATGCACGCCGCGCCCAGATGCCCTCTCCTGATTCATCTCAGCCCTTCGTGCCCACTCGTTGAGATCACCCAGCACGAAGGCGTTGAAGAGCTCTCGCGGTTCCATGCCATGCTTGCGCGTGAAAATCTCCCACTGGTCTTCTGCCTACTGAAAGACAAGCTTCGGGTACTGAGAATATGCGTGTGTTGCGGATGCGTTTCGCCTCCTCTCTTAGATTAGACTAAATTTTTTTAGTCCTGGCCTGTGCGATGAGGAAGCCCAGATTCGTGTTGCGGCCATCGGAGGCACACAGGAACTCCTCCGTCAGGATGACCTGCTCTTCGTAGACCGGGACTACCTGGGTCAAGGTCGGAATTGCTCCGGCCTTGCTGTCCAGCAATGTATCGCGGCCTGGTCGAATCTGGAACCCGGGCCGGATGCTCTGCTTCAGCAGAGCACGCAGAGAGCTCGCGAAGAAGCAGAGTCGTTCACTGACGCAAGACGGGACCTTCTGAAGGTCAACCTGCGTTGATGCAAGGGCACCCTGTTTCCGCCACGGTTCCGACGCAAAATACGTTCCGACATGCTCGCGCCGCTCTGCTGGGGTGTCAAATTCTCGTTGCTGCGTCTGCAGCCTCATCCACACCTGACCATCCATGGAGCCATCTATCTCCCAACATACCGGATCGAATTGACGGTCGTCCGAAGTAGTGGAAAAGGAGATGGCGGAAATGCAACGTGGCTTATTAAATTCCACCACAACCTCCCGATACTCCTCCGGGTCAGCGAACTCCAGATCTGCAGGGAAGCGAAAACTGCTGGCGTTCCTCAGCGCGACGAGGTCTTCCGCCTTTGTCAGATTTCTTCGCAATGGTGTCGCATGTGCACTCCCACGGCTGGATACCGACCTGCACAGTGCACAGCAAGAAGGGAAGGCTTCGTCACCAAGTAAGAGCTACTTGGAGATGTCAGTCGCCGAAGTAGATCGGAATTGGCGCCAAGGGGCACCCTATTCGGAGTGCTCGTCCCGGAAGCTGACAGCCGAGCGGTCTCTCTTGACTGTGACAGGAAAAACACGGAGCTCACAGCTTCCGGGCCTCCTCCATTAGGTACCTGAGACGGCCCACGAGAAAGTAGCTGCCAGCCACTCTGGACACCAAGGCCTGCGAAGACTTGCACACGTGCCGGAGGAATTCCGGTGCGACGGATGGGTAGCGGAAGGCATCACTGACAATCGCTGCTTCTAGTGATGACACGGACTCTTATCGCTGCTTCTGTAAAGTGCACGAGGGGGAGCTGACCAATGGGACTCTTGTGCGAAGCGACGCAAACTGAACAACCTCGCTCGTCAGCCTGGGGCTAGACTGACAACAGACAGACGTCAACTGCACTAGCAGACACCACTTTTGCCATCATACATGTGGAAAGTTGCTTTCTGTCTCCACTTTTAAGCTCATTGGATTGAGGGAATGGATGCCGAGTTAGGGTCGAACTTTGGAAACGATCCCTTCCGGGCAGCAACTGCGACAATGCCGTGCCCCATGGCACACCGCCAAATACCATACCGCGTGACCGCATGCCCAAGTGCCGTCGAACGCATGTACAACTGTCTTTCGAGCGTCGTGCTTATGCAGACGAAAACGAAGCCTCGCTAAGCAGTGGAACGTCCGAACTCCGAAGATGCTGACAGCTGCTGGCTGCTGGCGCCTGGGACTTCTGCGGTGGCTATGAGCCTGTCATCGAGGACTTCCATGAGCTCCGCGTGTTCGGCTGGTGTAGAAACTTTCACCTGGTGCAAGTGGCAGACTGTGCTGGCCAGCCTTACTTACAAGCGCGCCACCTGAGCATGCAGCGCAAAACTAGCAGCAGGGCATGAGTGTGCCCGGCCCCACCAGCCTGCTTCACAGCCCATTTTTGCACCGGATATGATTTGGGTCGACTTCTTGCCCCATGTATTACCTGCCAGCGAGACACAGGCAGCCAAAGCTTAAGCATCCAATGCACTTCTCTCCAACTTAGCCCCTCGTCCCTCGCAGCCTGCAGCTCAGAGATGCAGCAACTGCGTCCAGCTTGCTGCCAGGAGCCCCCACGAAGCTGTGTGGCTCGGAAGCGCAGCTTGGTAAAACCTGCCCACACAATAATTCAAATGCGAAGGCAGTACGAAGGGCCAGGTAGGGTGAGGAAAGCATGCAGCCAAGAAACACTGGGACATCTGGGCAAACTGTTTCTTGGAAGCAGTGCTATCACGCCAACGGAAGGTGTGCGCCGCATTCACCTGCTTATTCAGTGAAGCCGGACTAGTTCCATAACACCAAAGACAGCCAAGAGACCATGCTGTTGGCCATTGCTTCGGAGATCAGGCAATCCTGAGTTGGCACGCACTTCCCTTTTCGACCCAGGGCCAACGAAACATCTGGCCAAGGAGCATCGTAAAGGGACTCCACGGCGCAGCTCCAAACCAGACGCCAGGCGCTTCCGAAAACAGCTTCCTAAGATTTAGCACAGGGTTGCTTGCGTTCCAGCGAGCAGCTTGCAAGACACCAACAAGACAAGACTGTGAAGACGAGCATCCATCGCCCGACCGTCACTTATCATGTCGCGCAGTTCGTTCTCGTGAATCTCTTGTCTGCGTGCACTCGCATCCAGGTCCAGCTGCCTTCCCAGTAAATGCATACCGCACTCAATCGGATGACCAGATACAAAGCCTAACGGCGGGACGGAGGCTATCCCCGCGCCTTAGCGCAGACGACACTACGTTGCGCAATCCTCGGTGCTCGCCCATGGCGTATCCCCCGATCCTTGGCGAGACGGATTTGGCAGACTGCTGATTTGACCAATCATTCCAAAGGGCCCAATGACCAGGTAGAACAGGAAATGCCTTGCCGCCACATCAGAGCTAGAAGCAGCAATCGAGAAGCTCTGAACCAAGTTTTGCCAGAAATGTTTCGGACATGAGCTCATTCTGCCCACTCAGAGGCACAACATGTCATCCCAAGCCTTACGCTTAGAACATTTTAGAACTATTGGAACAGTGCTGCGAAGCACAAAGCCAACTCGGAACAAGTCGGGATGCAGGTCAAGGAAGGCTGTCATGCCGACCAGTGCATATATGGCAATGATGGTAAGGCCACAGGCTGCCTCACATCTGAAGAGTGGCTGCATGGTATGTCCAGGCGTCAACCCATGCAGGTCTATTTGCACGCCTTTTCTGAGATGATAAGGTCATGTCACATCATTTGCCGGCCGAGGCACACATTCGGACGGTAGTGGATGTATGGCCCCCACGCCAGGCACGTGGACGGCCCAGGCAAACAGCCGATTCGAACAGGATTCCCCGCAAAAGCCCTTGAAGGAAAAGCCGGATACGAGAGGGGCAACGAAGAATGTCTCGAAGCCGAAACACCTCAGTACCAAGGCCACGAAGGAAATGTTTCAAGACGCAGGAGTCAAGGGCAAGGCCGGCTTCGGCTCCAAGTGAACTAGGTCGCAAAACCATCTGCTTTTAACGTGCCAAGTGACGATCTGGGTCTAGTGTGGCATGGGTGCCAATCTACGGGAAATCAAAACTTGCGACTTGACCCGTCGACCGGCCATGCGCAGAGCCAGTGAGGGAGACTTCAGCAGGTCGTGATCAAGGTTGAGTTATGCATTGATTCAAGGATGACGGCCACTAACTACCTGCTACACTGACCATGTTATGTTCTCCATGCGCCCTATTTCGGGGCGTGCGACTTTTCCCACTCCATTTGGGACACAAGGTGCATGGAAAAGATAGCCGCTATGGATGCTGGAGAAACCTGGCGGATCCATCTGAGGACCGCCGGCAGTTCGGGATTCATTTGTGTTGCCCGAGGTGCAATGCCAGCACGAACAGCCAGACAAACAGCGGAGCAGATCCCTTCCCCTCCTGTCGGAATCACATCTGTGAACCCCTGCCACTGTCAACATTGATCGAGCAACTTTTGAAAACAAGTCCGTCCTTTTCCACGGGGTCCGGCGCGTCGTCGGCAACAACAGTCAGGAAAGAGTCTGAGCTTGCCTCCTGACAAAAACGGCATGTCACATGCACCACCATACTAGTACACAAATACTGCGCATGCTTGCCTGTCTGTCTGTCTGTGCGTCCGTTTGTCTGGCTGCGTGCGCGTCTGTCGTGTCTGTCGTATCTGCCGTGTCTGTGGTGTCTGTCGTGTCCGAGTCCGTCTGTCTGTCTGTCTCTGTGTGTCTGTCTCTGTCTGTGTCTGTCTGTTTCAGTCCGTCTCTTGCTTGCAATCGGACAAAGGAGCACGCGAGCGCTCCCCGCGCCCGAAGGCGCACCGGTCTCATGGTCTGTGTGACACAGTCAAAGCACTGAGGATCGGCCCGGCACCGGAAAACCCCCTTTACACCCTTTACTCATGCCACGTAACCCCCGGCCTCCGGCCTCTTCCTCCCCCGTTTTTCGGGGTTGCTGTGTGGGTCTCCGTGCGTCCACCAGCGTTTGTAGGCTGTGCTGCCCCGAAACATCAACATCACAACACTCCATGACAACATCAGACACACTGGGCTCAGCACAGCACTCGACAAGCACTCTGAGGGCCGCGCTATGCACATACAGCTCGCATTCAGACATAACACATTACCCCCAACACAAAGTTACAACATGCCTCGGTCCCGTGCGCTTGCTACTCCGGTTGGGTTCTGGCCTTCTGAAGCATCACATTGCCAAGCTACACTAGCTATGCCATCATGGTTCCCCTGGGTGCCAGAATCCCCCGTGCTTGTCATAGCATGCCGCTAGCATTCTGCGACGCCTATGACTTCCCTCACTCAGCTCGCTGAGTGCATCAGTCCGTCTCTGTCTGTCTCTGTCTCTGTGCGCGCGTGTGTGTGTGTGTGTGTGTGTGTGTGTGTGTGTGTGTGCGTGTAGGAACATGTCCAGGTGCTTGTAAAATGCGAAGCCGGTCAAAGCAGACAAACTTTAAAACATATATATATATATACGTATGTATGTATGCATGCATGCATGCATGCATGCATGTATGTACCTGTGTGTGTGTATGTATATGTGTTTGTATATGTGTATATGAAGCATGATAAACAGCACTCCTGAGAGGTCGGACGAAGCATTTTTCTCCGACCCGCTTTGTAGAGTTGTGCAACGGAGAAGCGGCCCTCAGGCGCAAAGAGGCCTCCCGGGTGGGTGGGAGGGCCCCAAAAGACTGCACATTCGTACAGTGTATCATGATGAAGTCATGATAAACAGCACTCCTGAGAGGTCGGACGAAGCATTTTTCTCCGACCCGCTTTGTAGAGTTGTGCAACGGAGAAGCGGCCCTCAGGCGCAAAGAGGCCATTATCCAGAACCAGGCTGCAAAGCGCGCCGTCATGGCCCTGGGAAGGTAGCGACCGTTCCATCATAGATGGCTGCAGCAGCAAGGATCCGCTTTCGAGTTCTCTCGTTCAGTTTTGGTAAAATGGAGAATGCCGACATCTCCTGGAGGTAGAACTCGAGAGTGGCCAAGCTCCGCAGCCGCATTCTCCACAAAAGGTCCTGAACTGAGCATCCATGCTGAAAGGCAGCAATTGCCCCTCCGGCCCTCAAGGACGCGGGTGTGAGCTTGAGCTGCGGGGAGATGCCCAGAATAGACAGGATTCTGTCCCACCGTCGTCGGTAGACACCTGCACTTCCAGGGTAGAGCAGCTCGCCGCGGCCCACAGTCTCAAAAAAAGCGGTCAGGAAGCGGAGCGCAGCAGGGTCGGAGAGCTTCGAATGCTGAATCCTGGCCGCTCTCCGCCTCGACTTAGGCTTCTTTATCCTGAAGTACATCCAGCCATGGTTCGGGTCCAGAAGGTCGGTCGGTGTCAAGACGTGTCGCCGTTTTGCCTTCAGCAGCTCGCCTGGCCGGTTTATGGCATAAAAGATTGCCATAGTAACAGAGGCCCAGCGACTCCACTTTAGGGCCAGAGCGATTCCGACCATGGCTTTCAGCACCACCTCAGGCATCGGTGTCCTATGCAGAACTGGCTGAAGTTCCTCCCATCTTGTAGCCATTTCCCAGGCAGGCTTCAAATGCGGCCGAAGCAAAGGAAGCCTGCGCTGGGAATAGGCTAAGAGCTGCCTGTAGGTCCCGAGAGGAGCTCCAACTTGGTAGAGCTCGTCGGCGTAGTCCCTCAGAACCAGAGCCAACAGCGGTGGGCAGGAAAACAGCGACAGGATGGTACCCTCAGAGAGCAGTTCTTTCAGCCAGCCAACGAAAGCGTCCCAGACGCGGGTCCTCAACACCTGCGTCTGCCGATCAACTAGGTCGACATCGAAAAGTGACCCAGGTCGTCTCGGTCGCGGCCGGGCCGGACCCGGATTGTCAGCTTCTCCCAGCCTCTTAGAAGAGTCACGAACACAGCTGCTGACAGTCCTCAGTGAAGCGGCGGCAGCGTCGGCGAGGGCCATGGCGAGACCTAAGCATGCTCTCCGGGGCGGCGTTTCTGCAAGCTGCGTCCAGTCGAAAGCACTCCCAGGAGCGCGCCCTCTCAGGACCCGGTGTTCGTGCCCACCACGGCACAGAAAGCTAGTCCCAGCGAGGGCCGTGTTGTTTAGCACTCGGGTGCGCTTCTTCCACGCAAAGCCGTAGGCACAGTGGTCGTAGACCCAGAAGCCCCACCCGCTGTGCTCGCTGAGCACACTCCTCAAAGAAGGCTGCTTCCATAGCCAACTCCGGTCGGGGTTGTCGATCCAAAAGGGCACCCTTAACTCTAAAACCAGCCTAACGACACGAACGACGAAGTCCACGTGGCTGTTGCCCTGCAAGACACGCGCAAGGTGGCTGGGTGAAAGTCCAGGGAGGCCTTCAGGAAAGTCCAAGGAGCGGTAGGCAGGACAGGCGGACACACTCAGCGTGGGGCAGGAAGGGGAGAGGCCCACGGCAGAAAACGCACCTGAAGAGATGGCATCCAACAGCTTTGCTTGCAGAGCAGGGTCCAGAAGGTCTTGCCCCGAACCGTGACGCCAGTCGAAGGTAAGGGCCCAAGGAAAACCAGCTTCAAGCGCGGCCTTTGCAACGGCGCGGCTGCCAGCGTACAGGCACAGGTAGCCCGGGGAGGAGAAGCGGGAGGCGACGGGCAAGCACTGGCCAGCAGGCCAAAGAAACTGCCGCCTCGGCAAACTCAACAGGAACCCGACTGCACTTCCAGGCAAAGCCGAAAACCCAGGGGCAGGTGCAGGCGAAGGTACAGCAGAAGGTTCAGGAGGAGGCTCAGAGGGCCCAACGAGGCCAGGAGACCCACAGCGGTTCTCAAAGGAGGCCTTTAGCTCGTCCAGGCCCTGCACTTGGAAAGGGTGCCGTTCAATCTCGCAGAGAAAACGGTCGAGAGGCTCGAAATTCCCGAGCTCGGCTTCCCTGAGCCAAAAGGGCTCGGGGATGGAGGGCTGCCTCACAGGGCGGCACCGCGTCGGATCATCACTGGGATTGTCTTCCGAAGCAACATAAGAATAATGCGGGTGGAGATTGAAGAAAAGCAGCCCAGGCAACGCAGACCTGAGTCTGGAGTTCAAGGAGAAAGAGCTCGAGCGGCCCTTCAAAAGGCCACCGAGAGTAACTTGGGAATCCACAAGGCCAAGAGAGCGAGCGGACTCCCAAGCGAAAGGAGACAGAGCCTCCTCAGCGGCAAGATAGGAGTCGAGCTCCTTCACGTTGATGTGGTCACGGGCATGCCTCTTGAACACAGAGAAGGGGCGGAAGCGGAGGGCCCGGACCACCAGGGTCCAAAGCGGAGAAGTGCGAAAGCCTTCTCCAGGCAGTTCAGCTTCTGGGTCCAGCTGGCAATGCTGACGAAGCAAAGCGGCAGAAGGGGAGAGAAGCTTGCTCCACAAACCCTTTACAGGGACGTGTCTGAGGAGCTCCCGCACAAGAGCCTTGGAAGCAGAGGTCACAACACAAGCTCCGAGAAGGTCAGAAGCGTCTGTGGCCACAACAAGACCGCTGGTTTGGGCTCGCAGGTCCGTCCTGAAGAACGGGGCGAGGACGCAGAGGCGGAAAAGCTCAGCGCGCAGGGCAGCAGTGGAACGAACAATATCGCAACTGCGCAATCCCCTCTGGAGAAGATAAATCTGCTCCAAAAGGCAGAGGCACCGCCGCCTGAAAGAAAGCACCGCGACCCAGGACCCGGCTAGTGTTTCCAAGAGCGACACGGTCACCACAGGAAGCTCGAGGACGGCAGCAGTCAGGCCAACGAGAGGAATGAGCCGAGTCCAAGCAGGCCTGACCACCCCGACGTCGCCGAGCACGTCAGCGCCCCAAAAGAAAACCGAGGACTCCAAAGCGAAAGCCTTTTTCTCGTGGCGTAGCAGAGCGACTCTGGCGTAGGCAGAGTGCAGGGCACGGGTTATGCGATGGCTGTTGGAGGCCGCTGGAGCAAAGTTCGGGAAGCGCAGCCCCTTCTCTATGACGATAACATCGTCGATCACCAAACCGAGCATCGTGGGAGACCGAAGGATAGGACCTCGATGAGTGAGAAGCTGATGCCACCCAACAGCGCCTGATTCGAGGATCAAGCCAACATGCGCAGCCTGGGCCACGGAGACAGCATTGCAGTCGCCCATAGCCATGCAGCGCAGAGCAGCGACCACACGCCCAGTGCGCCACAGGGAGGGCTCAAAGCAGGCCAAGGGCGAAACCTCTCCCGGTGCGAAGCTGCCCACGAGGCGGTAGTGTGCAGCACGGTCCCTCGAAACACTGAACTGGTGATAAAAATCTTTTATGTCATCTCCGCTGAGGTAAAGCTGTTGATCGCAGTCCAGCTCGATGCGAAGCAGAGCTGCAGCCGACCCCATAGTGGCGAGCCATCGAACATCAGTCGGGACGCACAAGTTGGAAGGGCGAGCGTCGACGATCAACCGATCGCTCTCCAGCCCCTTTGGTATGGCGAACAGTCCGCAGGCAGAGTGCGCTGATCGTGAAGATCCTCGGGAAAAAGCAAAAGACGTCCGCTGGCATCCAAAGCAGCCAAGAAGTCCAACCTCTGCTGCTTGGTAGGGCAACGGAACTGAACACGGGGAGGCGGCTGGGCAGCCTCATCAATGCTCCAAGCGTGGGCCGAAGGCGAGAGGTAGATGGACCTCATGCTGTCATCCAGAAGAGGCGAAGGGTCAAACAGCGGCGGCGCTGTCGGAAGACTGAGCCTATCGACCTCGATGTCCTCAGCGAGGTTAAGGTCCGCAGCAAGAGAAGGGGCAGGATCAGGGCCTATGACGGCAAGAGCTCTAACCTGCTCCTCAACACGCTCGACCTTGCTTGCAGTGCGACCCATGGAAGAAGCATCGACAGGGGGAGCCGCATCCCAAAGGGCGACAGCCGCTGCCAAGCGATCCCAGGCACGGTGCACAGAGGAAACAAAAGGCTCGCGCCACCGTCGACTTTTAAAGGAAGCGCCGGGGCCACGAGTGACACGATGCATGGGTTCGGCGGCCAGGGAATCAAGCACAGAGGCAACCAACTCTAGGGCACGCCGATTCCCAGCAGGGCGGATCTCATCAAGAGTAGCCCGGAAGAAGGAGTCCCCGAAGGGACCAGCAGAGTTTGAAACACTGGGCGTGAGCAGGGCAGCAACCTGCGGGTCGGGGTGCAAAAAGTCTGAAAGAAGGGCCCACTGGCAAGGAGCCTCGAAAGTAGAAGCGCCGGCGCCGGGAGCAAGCATCCGGAGAGCGAAGATCCCAAGGCACAGGCCCAGCAATGAAGACGTGAAAGCCATCACTTCGAAGGGCCCCCGGGGGGGCCGGACTTGTCGCCCTTCTCAGCTGCCTTGCCGCCCTTTGGCCCACCTTTGTCGGCCCGGTCGGGACGGCCGTCCTGAGTGCTGTCTGGGTTTCCCTGCCGACCTTTCCCAGCAAGCTTCCTCTTCGACTCCAAGCGCAATTCGAGCTCGCGAACTCGATGAAGACACACTTCCGCCCACCTCGGTTCAACCAAGCGGGAGTGGTAGGTGTCGGTGTTGTCGAGGGCCGACTGCCGCTTGGCAGCAAACGAAGAGAGGGGCGGCGGGGCCTCAAGTGCGAACTGCTCAGCAAGGGTCCACGACCCGTTGTCAAAAGCCTGCTGGTCGCAGCAAGCTATGCACAAAGCACAACGTGATCGAGCCTCCTCGTAGCGGCCAGCACGCAAAGCATCCCACACGCCGCAGACACTCCAGGCCAAGCGAACGGTGTTCGGGTAGTTGCCGAGGTGAGAGCGGTGTTCGAGCCACGCTCTGCTCGTAGCCCTCGAGTCCTGAAGAGCACCGCCGAGACGCCTGTTCAAAAGGTCCTCCTCGAGGTTGTTTTCTATGCTGGTGTAAATCTGGGCCGGGTCGGAAAGCAAGGTCTCACGAAGAAGCCGGTAAGCAGCTCCCTTGGAACGGCCCCCAGAACCCAGAGCACCCGGCTCGGCAGACGCACCAAACCCTTCAGCACGATCAAGAGCACGCTCCAGGGCGGTCGAATTGGCATCGAGAGCTTTGCGGCTCTTAGCAAGCTCGCCGACGATCTTTGTCAGACTCACAACGGCGGCCTCAATCGGACTGGTGGGAGCCGGGGCCTCAAGCTCAGCTTCCTGCACATCGAGAGAAGAAGGGGCGGGCGTGAGAGCGCCACCTCGTGCATCGGGATCCCTGTCACCCTGCTTTGGGAAGTCGCTAAGCCCGCGCTTTTGCCTCGATAGAAGCCCTTGGATCTCACCGAGCTCTCGAGCACCTATCCCAGACTCACGGGCGGCACGCAAGACCGCTGGGTCAACACCGGGAACGTCAGCGGCCAATCCTCGCGGAGGAGGGGTGCCCGGAACAGCGCCCAAGGATGGCGGCGGCTTTGCACGCACCTTGGAAGTCGGCGCCTTTGCGGCAGCACTCGGCCCGGGGCCGTCCCCTAACACACGAGTCAGCGAGGAAGAGATGGCAGCAAGGGAAGCTTCGATTGCGGCAAAGCGAGCTTCATGCACATCGGGGGCCGACGGGGCCGTTGCAAAACCAAACTGAGAGTCCGAAACCTGCACCAGGGCCTCGGCAAAAGGAAAACAGGGCCCGAACTCGGGATTCATGAATCGGATGTCTGTTGCATTTCCGGGCCCATCAAAAGTGGCAGAGTCGGCGACCCCTGAACTCAAAAGTCCAACCCAGATCTTTAAGGAAAACTCGGCCGGCTGAGCACGATCGTCCGGCGAAGCGGCAACAACCTCACAAAGGGAGGCCTTTGAAAAAGGACTGTTAAAGTTTCTCTTTGAAGTTTTGCGATCCCAAGCCTTATGCGGCAGCGCTGTCACAATCTTACCATCGTGCTCCGTCACAAAAACGGCAGCCACAGTCTTTCGGGCTGACTCCTCTCCAACCGAAAGGGTGCCAACCTGGTATTCAAAGTCAGTGGTGCCAGCACGGTACACAAGGTGAAGCTGCAAAGGACGGGCTGGGACTCTAGCCTCACTCTCCGAAGGCTCTTCATCGCTCATTGCGGCTCAGCAGGAGGGCTGAGCCCAGCGGTCTGGCAAGCAAGCCGGGCCTCCCACAAGGCAGGGAACCCACAAAACACAGAGTCACGCAGATGACCCCGGTCCTCAACCACGGTCCGGGCTGCCGACAAAGTATGATACAGCCTGGGACGGTGCCGTCGGCACCCTTGCACACAACGTAAATCCGGGAGGCCAAAGGGTTTCTGCTGCGACCGCTCGGTCCGCGGTGCGAGCCAGCAAGGGCTCTCTGGAAGAACAGGCCAATCTCACGAGCAATGGCCGAGCGCTCAGCGTCAGAGATGCTGGCAGAAGAAGCACGGGCAGCCGAAGCAGGCTGGGAGGAGCTGGCAGCACCACCACTAGGGGGAGAGGTTTGAAGTCCAGTGCGGGGTTCGGGACTAAACCCTAGGCTGCCACGAAGAGGAGAGCCTAAACCACTAAGGGCCCCAGCAAAGGCAGAAGCCGACGGAGCGACCGGATCAGAAGCCCGGTCTTCAGCAGAGGGCAACTCAACCCTTTCAAAGTCCAGGCCTTCCAAGTCAATGAAGGCAAGCACACGATCCAGAAGCCTTCCCTGACGCTGGACCTCGGCAGCCAGGGAATCGATCGAAACAGCAAGGGATCGGATCTGATCCTCAAGCCTGATCAAGCTCATGAAAGGATCCGGAAGAGAGGCAGGGAGTTGGCAGCAGAGAACAGCCGGGCACGGACGAAACGACCCCAAGTAACCCTAAGGTAAAACAAGAAGTCTATAACCGGCCCTATCGCAACCCCAACCAAAAGACCCCAGCCAAAGCTCGGCCAATGCCCGCTGCTGTCCTCGAGCGGACAGAGAGGGCAGGGCTGACCTGCAAGGAAGGGCTCCGCAGCAGGCCCTAGGAATTCCTCAGCCGCCCGGAGAGCAATAGAGGCCAAGCTACCTCCTACAAGACTCACCTGCAGAGGCCTTCCCAGGGCCATACACTCGACCCCAAAAGACTGCACATTCGTACAGTGTATCATGATGAAGTCAGTAATATATATATATATATATATATATATATATATCAAAAGTGTGCCATCAAATTCCGTCGCGGGCTCCGAACAACTGACGAAATTAAGGTCGCCAGCCGAATGCAGCAAAGCATAACGTCTGAACATCAAGTTTGCAGCCCGAAGTTTGAGTCATACGACAAGCCATTCATGCCCGCATTTTTGGACTTTGTATGGAAGGTGCCTGACACCGTCCGCTGAGGCTATACACACTCCAAGCGCGCTGAATCACAAAATGCCTCAGGCACCTGCTTTCACATGTATCCTCAACACTGCGAAGTACCCGACAACATTTCAAACAACAGACTCTCGAAATGCGCAAAGCGCTTAGGTGTAATCCGCGATATGCTCGGAAGAATGGAAGCGCGACGGAACAAATGATCAAAAAGCCACCAACTGTGCTTGATTGAGGCATTCCACTTGCTGAATCGTTCCTGAAGGCCACCTTGCATCAATGAACGCGCTCGTAACACTGCCACTTCCCCCTGTCTTCTCTGAGATCGTCCAAACGTCACAACATCAGACAAAGGAACACCCTTGCGAACCAGCTCTGAGGCGCCAGATCCCCGGAATGTGTGTTGTGAGCTGGAGCGCATCCGCGCCGAGCAGATCTGCTCCATACAAGTACCACGCTTGGTTTTACTCAAACAGAGCACGATAGAATCAGGCATCATCACAACGTCCCGCCACCTCAATGTGAGGACTTCCCGCACACGGAGAAGGCCAGTGTAGCACCACATCATGGGCAAACTGAGCTGAGGCCGGTTGAGAAGCAGAGCTACTGCGAACATCGAGATGAGCAGCTCGGGAGGGGCCGCTCGCGCCTGCCGTGGGGGAACCCTACGCCCCCACGCATCACAGACCTTCCAAGCCGTCTTGAAAGATATTGAAAAATGACAGAGGGTTTACCTTCTGAACGGCTGAAAGCGCGCAACCACATGCCGCCCGGCCTTTACCGTTCTCAAACGCATCCAACAACCACTCTGCTAGGAAATCATCTTGCTGTTCCTCGGACATCTCATCCCACACCACATGCATGTTATGCAACTCACTGCTGAGAGTTATTTTATATACATGCATTTACATATATATATATATATATATATATGTGTGTGTGTGTGTGTATATATGTTTGTATTTAAACATACAAACACCCACAAACATGTACACGTACTTTGGTCCCTATCAAAACTACCTCCCTTCCTCCATCTCTGGCTGCCCGCTTGCCTGCTCTGGTGCCGACCTCTAGCTGCCCACACGCCTACCGGCCTACCTGTATACATATCAGCATGCAAGCAAAAAGTCATACACACAAACGAAAAAGCAAAATACAAAAAACAAATAAATAAATGAACGATCCATCCATTCATCCATCCATCCGTACATACATACCTTTTGGCACTCCCTCAGGTGAGGTTCCTGACGTGACACAAGCTCACGTCGATTAACCCGATTGAAGCATTAACTCGCACATGGAGGAATCGCTCAGGCTTGCACACATACATGCGTATGTGTATAGATAGACAGATAGATAGATAAACGGGCAGATAAAATCAGATAGATAGATAGATAAATTGATAAACAGATAGAGATACAAAGGCACAGAGACACACATCCATTATGTCATATGTGGGGACCAGGAGGTGTGGCTGAGGTGGATGTAAGCACTGCATGTATGTATCCATGCATGTATGTACTGTATGTAGGTAGGTATGCCTTTCGGAGCATGCGTACACATGCATTGCACAAACGGCCAGCCAAATGCTCGATACACTGCGGCACTTCTCCGTTGAATGTCAACCGAAACAGAACCACATAAGAAGGTGAGTCCTGGTCCGCCTGCGCATCTGGGACCGTCGGCTGGTTTGCTTTCTTGTCTTTCAAGTCCGCTGGCGTGCCATGGACGAAAGGGATGTTTCGGCGACGGCTGAAGACAAAGAAAACCAGCAGTCGAATCACTGCATAAGCACAACCTGAGTTCAACAGCCGAAGGCTGATCGCACGGTGCACGCTCAGCGTCCGCCGCAAACCTGCTAACACCCGTTAAACGAAACTCCCAACATGCCACGAACATTCCCGCCTCACAAGTCTCCTAACCGGCATGTCGACAATCACAAAACCTCTTCCCCCTGCTAGCCGCTAGCCAAGGCTTGCAAGCCTGCCCGCATCACATTCAAGACTCAACTGCCTCACCAATCGTGCAACCCCGGAGCAGCACAGCACGGCAAACTCGTCTGAGCAATCTTTCTCCTGCAACGTCTTGACAAGATCAGCTGAGCAGTCACCAACCTTCAACGTGTTGATTGCATGGTTGATACCAGTCCTTTTCGAAGGACTCCTCTGGAGTCAGATTGCAGAGGTTTCGGCCCACTTTGCCAACAACCACCATGGCCCCAAGACTCCCACATCCGAGCATCACCGACAGCAGCCGCCTCGACACGTCACAAGCATGGCAGGAAGAAATCGAACAAAGACAGGTCTTACGCCAAAAAAGTAGAGGGAGCCCTTCCGGAATCAACCCGAAAGGCGTTCTTCCCCCTCTGCTCTACCTGGTCTACCAGCACTGTTTGGGAGCTTCGGCCGCCTCCGCGCCCAGCGCCGGTGCGTGCGCTTCACCTGTGAGGAGAAGCGGCCCGGGCTCCGGCAGAGGCGCCGCTGAGCCAGCCCGTGCCAGAGCAAACCCAGCTCCGCGAGCCTCGGACCCGCCGGCGCGCTCTCAGAAAGAAAGAGAGAGAGAGAGAGAGAGAGAGAGAGAGAGAGAGATTTGAGACCTTGCTTTCGCTTGCTTGCTCAGCTTCGAGGTGTTCGGGACTTATCAGCTGCCAGGCTGGGCGCAGTGCAATTGCAAAAAGCCTTAGCCTTCATGGCACCCCACTCCGGGCTTACGGAGGGCTTGGAACTAAGACTCCAGTTCGTGTTCCAAGGCTCACCACACTTGTACTATCAAAGCAATCGTGCTTTCTCTGGTCTCCATCGAAGCCACACTAGCAGGGTGGCATCCAGGAGGGCCATGATCTGCACGGCATCGGACCGGCTGCCTCTGGGACTGAAAAAGCTGTCGTTCTGATCCTCAGTGCCACAGAAGGACTGTCCCTTCACGGGCGCATGAGATCCAAAAACATGCACGTAGTCAGCACCTGTAGCACAGCCACCCTGTCAGCTAAGGATTTGTCCGGCAGCGACCCAAGATGTACATAAAAGGCCAAGAAGAAAATCCAAAGCTTCACGGTGAAGACCTGCACGAGCACAGACAGATCGTAGAGTGCGCCGGGTGCGACAAGTGTCTAGATTGGAAGAAAACAACCCACATCCACTTCACGAGAATGGTGGTTTGCTGTCAAGGGGCAGGCCCAAAGTTGTCAAGGAGATCGTACAAAACGCGCCACGACCTTGCAGCGCACAGCATTCCACCTTGCAAGTTACACCCTCTTATGCTGCCCACTGTAGACTTGGCAGGAGGCGTCGATTCCAGGAACGTTTTTTGTACGGTGTTAACATCGACTTCAGCCCGTGCTTCTCCCAGGTCATTTATGTCCTTGGCACTCAATCTCGCAGATCATGATGCCTCGACCAGGCCTTGCAAACGTTGCTTCCATGAGTCGTCGAAGTTTACACCTCCCATGAATGGATTGGTGTTCTTTCTCATGGCATCCACTCCGTAGTGAAGTGCATCGTAATCCTCGGGCGTTGGCCATGCACTCACAGATGCCATACTACCGTGAATTTAAACCTCCACACCATGGGCTCAAAGTGTCCACTGTGAAGCGCACACTGTCCGGAAGGAATGCCTGGGTTTCTGCCGCATGGCAGACGTGTGGACGCAACCGGGAAAGCAAGAAGAGACTCATCACCGTGGGGCTGCCCCGCTCTGAGAGTTGTAGGATAGAAGGCCAAGCTACGTTGTCGTCTGAGAGCGACTCTGCCCAACGCATGCTGTGGAACATCATGGAGATGAACTCTGGCGAATGCCTGGCACCAGGCTCACTGTCCGATTTGAACATGACCGGCCAAGTCAGAGGCTCGCACAGGGCATGCTCCGACAAGCTTTCCATGACACGGAGGGCTGCCTGCGCAGGACAGGAGCGCCCCGAGTCGCCCCAGCAACTCCGTATGTACTAGTATGACGTCCAAGGCGCAGCTTCGGTGAACAACATCCACGCAGGCCGTGGTCTGGATGGCTCGGTGCCAAGCATGGCTTTCAGCCGCTGCTCTTTGTTTCTCAGATCGCGCTGCGCTTCCAGCCACCTCAGTCATCACACGCTCGCACAACAGCCCACAACTCTGCAAGGCGATCCGGACCTAGGGGTCGGACACAAAGTAGCCCTCCAAGACGCGAGCATGGATGTTCGTCATTGCCTGAGTTCTTATTGCGACCGTGCCAGTAATACCAACGACGCGCTAAGCTTGGGCCGGTACCTTCCCAATGCATTCCTCCCGTGACAAGCGTCCGGGCCCGGTGAATTCTGCATCCAAGGCATGTCCTTCGGCCTCTACCTGAACACTTCACCGCACAGACTCTCCCATCGCTTTGATGTGTCGCAGCATGCAGTGCACTGCTGCCTGTAGCTTCAAGCGCCGGCACTGTGTCTTCACGTGTGCTTCGGCAAAGAAACCTGAGGGCAGGACTACGAATTTACAAAGCCCTGGCCCCGGCCTTTCCGGTGCACACGAATAGAACATGCTCTGGCTACTGCAAGAGTTGTGCCCCCGATCCATATAACTCTGTGCAGTGACGAAGGGTGTCGGTGGTGAACTGCACCTTGCCCTCACGTACCACACTGGCGGTCATACAAATCATGACCTTGGCAGGTACCCACACACCTCGTCAGCAATGTCTTGAATTGGCCAACCGGCCTCAGCAGCTCCCTTCGACATCTCGTCCGGAAGGAGAAGCGGTGTCTCCGCCTTTGCTACTGGGAATACAACGAACACCTCTCTAGACTGCATCGTCCCACTCCCCATCCTCCACACGCACTGGCATGCCATGCCTTAACAACGTTGTTGGCATCCTGCATGTCTGCCGGAGGCTCCTCAAATCGCCCCAGTTCGATGGCATCTGTCCTGGGGCAGCCGGGATGCGAGCCTTTCCACACTTGACCATAGAACAGTCCTGCCTGGAAGGTGATTCTGCCTCGAGCAGCACCTGGCCGGCATTGCCAACAACTGAATTCCACCCGACTTTCTCCAGGATCTCGCCTGGCTGTCAGCTGCGCGAGCGTGAGCAGGATGGCGGTGTCTAGGAGGTTTGACAAGCTTGCCTCAGCACGTAGGCAGCGGTGCAGGAAGCTTCAACAAGATGTGAGTGTCCTCATAGTCATTCGACCGTGGGGCGGAAGCAGCAGCACTTGCACCAGTAGAAAACTTCCAGGGCAGCTCCGCAGAAAAACAGCGCGAAGTTCAGAGCCAGCAGCCAGAGACGTTCATGCATGACGGCCTTGGTGAATAGAATGCAAGACACCGCCACAGGCTTGCCTTGTTTCCATCCGGGTTCCACCAAATCTGGGGCATGCTTGAAACTAAAAAACAAATCACAATTGCCCAGCTGGCTGCGCAATAGCCGCCCGGCAGAAGGTTCCACAGCTGGTTTTCAGAAGCCGCGTCCGGTATGTCATCAAAGCGGAAAGCGCTTCCACCAACCTTTTCCCCTGAACTCCTTGTTGGATGCTCTTGATGATAGCGCGGGTCAAGGCAGTGAAAGCTGAGGAAAGTGTACTGCCCATTCATACCGAACCACTCATGATGAATGGTGCGCCCCGGGCGGACTTCATCACAGGGCCCTGTGTGTGGGTGCTGAAAGACGCTGCCCGGGCAACCGAGGACCTCGGACCTTCCCCAGTCATCCACCCACTCATCAATTGTCACGCCCGCTTCTGCACAGCTCTCCAGGCTCGAAAGGCCTTTGTAAAGCTCACCTGGGCTCTAAACCCCGCGAACCAACCCCTCCCAGCTGAAAAAAAAACTTGGCACATCTGCTCCCTCAGGCACCCATGAGCTGTTGCTGTAGGACAGGGTCGACCAACTCGTTTACCTTGGATTTCATGGCAAACAGGCAGGAACAAACGACTACTGCGCGACGAACTGTCACTTGGCAGCTCGCCGTGCAACCCGTGCCTGCTCTAAGCTGATACTGATGCCGATTCGATGAAAATTCTGCAACCAGGACAACAACCCGCATTCTGTGAGAGCTAGCTCGACCAGCCGAGGATTCTCGACGAGCACATGATGTCAGCGAACGAAGCCGAAATCCGCCAACGCACACTCTGACTCTCCATATTTCACACAAATGCAAGAAAAAGTGATGGAGCACCACACGGACACGACCATCGCGCGTAAGAAGAGACCACTTGTGCCGGGACACAAAAGGGCTCCCCCTTCGTTGGTGTGTGCGTGCTTGCTGAAGCCAGGCCCGCTAAGCCAGGCGTTCATCTTTTATTCGGCGTCGTCGTCGGACACATGTATCTCGACGAGTGTTGCTGACCCTTGGTTGTTGTCAATGTCTGTCTTTTTTCATCCGTGGCCAGGCTCAGCGTGCCCAGGATCTGTTGACAATCCCTGGAGCGAGCCCGTGCAGTGACTTTGTGCCAGCGTTGGGTGTCACAGCCTTCGTTACCACCCTGTGTGACTCTATGTTGCAACGGTGTGATTGCATCCCATGATTGAGATGCAGCACCACAGTATGGGAACGCCTTCGAAAGACTGTCACACCAAGAGTGCAGCACGACCTGCTGGAAGTGGCAGCAGATGTCCAGGAGTTCCCGAAACAAATAACAAGAAAATGAGATCAATAGCAATAATAACAATAATGATGAACAGAATGGTGTTTTTTTACAGAATGGTGTTGGTAGTAGTAGTCGTCGTCGTAGTAGTAGTAGTAGTGATAGTAGTATAGTCGTCGTTTTTGTAGTAGTAATAGTAGTAGTAGTAGTAGTAGCAGTAGAAGTGGAAGCGGAAGCGGTAGCGGTAGTGGTAGTGGTAGTGGTAGTGGTAGTGGTAGTGCAGTGGTAGTAGTGGTAGTAGTGGTAGTAGTGGTAGTAGTGGTAGTAGTGGTAGTAGTGGTAGTAGTGGTAGTAGTGGTAGTAGTGGTAGTAGTTGTAGTAGTGGTAGACAGTAATGGGTAGCGGTGGCAGTAGTAGTCGTCGTCGTAGCACTAGCACGAGCACGAGCACTAGCATTAGCACTGGTAGTACTAGTAGTACTAGTACTAGTACTAGACACAAACATTACGTACAATCAAGGGCCGCGGCACAGAACCGTACATCGGAGCTTCGGCTGCAAAGCCAAACTGCGCGATCACGAGCTTCTGTGTCGGATATGTACAGCCAATACCTCCAATCAACTGCTCAAGAGTCATGACAAGAAGCTGGAGAAGGAAATGAACTGCTCTTCTCTTCAAGCTCTCCGCCTACCTGGGTCACAGCCCTCCAGCAAGTCGCCCGCTGGGTTTCGTAGAGTTTGAGTTGCGAGGTCATGCCAAGCAAAAGCATTGTGGCTTTCTGCCATCGTGGCCTGCGAGGAACAAAGAAGTGGAGCTACAGTAACGGACGTTCGGGCAAAATACGAAGACCAACCACGGCTTGCTGGGAAACCATGATCCCGCACAAACAGAACCCGAAATCTGTTGGTTTGAAACTACCAGCCGACCCAACAGCTCGGCTTACACAGCCCTTGCTGACAAATTGCGCAGGGCGTTGTAGGATTACTTTACAAGGACTGTGAGGGGCTTCCCTAAGGGTGTAGGGCTTCAAGGGAGGCCAAGCCAGTGTGGTCCTTTCAACATGGACATTGCCCAAAGACCGGCTACTCATGTCGCGACATTTACAGTCACAGGTTCGATGCAATCGCAGTACCGGAGGGCAATTTAAACACCAATTCTCGCTGTGTCTCGTCGCCGAGCCCTGAAAGGCAACCCTTTCTGCAAAGTTCCCGCAAAACAGTGAACATAGCCGCAGTGATTCCAAATTCAACCAGAGGGCATTGAACCACTTCAGCTGTTGTGCCAGGTCTGTCTGCCCTTGCCGATTCGTCGGCGGCTGCGACTGCACAATCCAGGCATCGAAAGCTCCCCGTGGCCGCAGCCGGTTGAAGGTTTTCTCGTCGATATGCAGTGAAAGCTCATCAACGGGCCATGTTCCCCACACCGTCTCCTTAGGGCCAGATATGTGCTATGACATGCCAGGCGGGGGCGAGCTGAGTGCGTGCCAAGGCTCGGAGAAACCCAGGTACCATCCAATATTGTCTTGTCGCAAGATTGTATCCAGCAACAGGGGCACACCTTGCAGGGAGTATCCAGGAAAGGGTCCAAATGAATTCAGAAACTGAACCCGCCAACAAGCTGCCAAGTCTGATTCTAGCGAGCTGACATCGTTGATATTCCTTTGAGATTCGTTTCGCACCCTAGGGGGGGTTCAAGTAACCGCAGGGAAGGGCCAGAAGCGCCTAGTGGTCGCTTGAAGCGGTCGCCATCGCAGGCGGAGGCCTTTCCCGGACCGCACTCCTGGAGCCACTGGGCCGAGCGGATGACCCGCAGCAGCTGGAAGTACTCCTCAGCGGTCCCAAAGCCCCCAAGAACCGCCACACAGCCCGAAGTAGACCAGTGTTTCCGAGGTGCATCACGGATTTCTGACAGAAGGGAAATCGAACGAGGGCCTTGCTCTGTCGTTTCGTTCAGGTTGAGACCGAAGTTGACAGTCCACATCAGGATGAGCTCTTCAATGTCCGCAGCATCCTGGAGCGCCTGCAAGCAGCTGTCATGCACAGCGTTCACGCAGTCGGGGTGCATCCCCGGCCCCATGAGTTCTCGGTTCTCGGGCCTGGTGCAAGAACTTCTGGAAGCCCTTCCACACCTCCGACTGCCTCTGGCTGAAGGCTGACATCCTGGAATCAGGAGCAGAGAACTGTCTAATCCCGAAGCAAGGTCAGGTCCAAAATGAACATGTCTGGAGATAGTCCTGGCTGCAGTGGACAGGAAGTAGGAAAGATCGAAGGTTGGAATAACATACCTGTGTCGACATACGGCTTCGTCTGACGGGGCAACTGTCGAGCAGCTTCTGCAGCCCTGAACACTGGACCGCAAGTGCATGTCTGCGAGACAGTAATTGCAACCTGCCGCCACGCTCAGGCCACCAGGCGCCGAAAGCAAAAGCTCCTGAACCTAAGACCTATCCGATCAGCCATATTATCTCAGCAGGCCGTACACCGTACACTTTAAGGCCATTCCTGAAAGACTTCAAGAAAAAATTGCCTGTCCGTGGTCCGGAAAACCCTTGGCTGGCCAAGGCCAAGGTGCATTCCATACTTCTTGCAGGCGCGCAGGAAACCCGAATGGTCCTGCTCCGAGTCCCAAGGCGCAAGTCTGACAGCATTCGCGTGGAGTATGTTCCTCGGGTACCACACTCCGACTGTTCCACAGCGCTCGTCTGGAGTGCGTCCGCCGCTCAAAGACTGAAACCGAGATGCCGCATGATGTACAAATCACGCTCGTGAATGTTGTTGAATGTCGAAGTGTAGAGATCATTGTTGAGCCCAGGACTCAGCCTCGTCGTCAGGACTGACAATCACCACATTCGCTCTACCACACAGTGGCTCCCCAGGCAACTCTGCATTCAAGCAAGAGACCCGACAGGACGTGGCTCGTAATAAATCGCCCGAATCGTCAGCATATCGGCTTTCGAGCCTGTGGTCCTGCAGTCTACTGTACTTTACCGAACCGAATGTCTTCGTGTCCTACACCCTTTATAAATCATGACATGAATCGTCATCTCGGGAAAACGGTCCTGGGATGAATACCTGAGTTGATGCCATGAACCGTTGTACCGCTGTCGAACGGAGGGCTGTTGACCTCGGCAGTGGGTGGCATCAACAGGTTTGGGGAACGTTTGGCAACACGTGGATGGCTCGAAAGGCCGTGTGTGGTCTTCAAGCACCGTCCCTTTACACCATAGGTTGGGAGGACCAGGCTGTGTAAAGTTCTGAACCGTTAGCAGTGTGCCCCTGAGCATGGTCCGGTCTGGGCAAGGACACCTAGAGAGCACAACATCGGTGAGATCGCTGGCTGAGCAAAAGCAGCGAATGCGACATCTCCAAGTGATTGGGCGAGACAAGCACGTCTTGCGTCTTCAGATATGGTTGTTCTGGCCCACACCGGCATCCAGCCAAACAACGCAAAAAGTGTAGCAGTCCGTGCGAGCAATCCGAGAGAGTTCAACACCTGAACCCGACACCTTCAGCAATCGTCCTGTAACAAGCTTAGCACTTAGAGCGCCCGCTCCCCTTGGAGACTGGCATCCACATGCATCCACAAACCAAGCGGCGAAGAGCTTCGTGCAATTCGACGAATTGCCCTGTCATGGAATCGGCTCAACACACTGGCTTTGTTCAGGGAATGATCGTAGAAAGCCGAAGCTGATTGGCAAGCTCAGCTGCGGGGGCTAATTACACGTGATTGCAGAGCCGGCACCTTGTACTGAGAGTCTGGTCGGTCCAGAAGTATCTCGCAACGCAGCAGCTGGAGCAAGCAAAGAACACACGCCGTCCGCAGCCGAACGCGCATTTTTCACCTCGCTGCAAAGGGCCAACAACAAGATGCTGACAGAATGCCAGATCAAATTACGCCTCGCTTGTCAAACTTGAGCCGGCTCACCGAGCGCACTCTATTGCCACGATGATGATGAAGCCGCCGAAAAGGACTTATGGCCGAGATCCAATGGCACAGGTACCGTAGTGAAGAGGTTGCTCGCGTTTTCGTTCATGCTTGGCTGCAGCGATGCAACTTCTACGGTGTGACTAGCTGCATGATCTGCATTTGTTGCATGTGTCCTGCTTGTTGGCCTTGGTGAGAGATGTTGCGAGTTTCAGCTGATTGTGCGAAACGCTGACATCTTTGGAAGATGTACTAAACTATGCCTTAAGCCACATGCATCGCAGCCGGAATTGCGTGGCAATCCCGCAGAATCGATTTGCAGGCAAGCCTGCACCACCCTAGATGGGTCTGCATCATAGCTCGTCTGTGAAAAGCGCGAAACCATGAACACACCAACCCCTGTCATGTTGGTCCTACTTTACTATTACGCTCCAGTCCAACCCCGCAGAAGACATGCTGCACTTCGCCTGAACAGCATCCAGCACCTCCTGTACAGATTCGCTGCCTTCGATGTCGAGGACAAAGCCCTTCCAGCACAAGCATTGCTTGAGGCGTATATAAGCGCCAGTGGAGAATTTCGAACGTCGCGTGTGATTTGTGAGCATTTCAGAAGTTCCCTGACTCCCACGAAAGTGTGTGGGGCGCACGATCTGGCCGGAAGTCTCATTGTAGTGTCGCAAAGGGTTGATAAACCTGAGAAGGCTTCATCCGGCTGACGAGCGTCTAGCAGGGCAGACGATTCAGAATGCAGCTGTACAAACAAGCTAAGCCCTCTGAGATCATGACGCTTTGCGTGCTGCTTGTGCAGATATAAGGATGAGCCTCGAGAATCAGAGGCGAAGCTGCTGGCATGCCTTCCACTTCCATCTTGGAGCGAGACCCCCAGCAAAGTCCTGAAGCCTGCTCACACTCTGCAGGTCCACGGAAAAGACCACATGAAGACAAGTTGGAAACTTAGGCTGCCACCCTGGCATGTGACATGCGGTGTCATGGCCGCAGCCGACGGGACATGCTCATCAGAATCCAATATGACAGAAGCATCTCGACTTCGTCACATAATCCCATCTATGCCAAAAGCCACTGCTTCCATCAAGGCTTTTGCAGACGACAGGTGCAGAAACATCCTACGATTTCTATTCACCGACCCGATACGCTTTGCCAGCAGCCCATAACACATACCTCATGTCGCGTGGACTCTTGGCAAAACAGAGCTCTTGCTTAGTGCATGATGTGGTGGGTGTCGTCAAAGTGCTTCCTGGCCTCTCCCAACAGCTCCCGCAGTTTGAGCGTTGTTGGAGCTTGAAACAGCAGCAAACTTTTGCCCACTTGGGTGGCTCGGCATGTGCGATACGAAAATGGCAAGTGGCACCTGCGAAAAGGAGTGATACGAGTGTTTAGGTCCTTTAACCCAACTGGTAACTCAATTGTGGCTCACATCCACTGCAGCGCAGCATGTGTCTCCGAAGTCTTCCAGATTTCGCATGCCTACCTTCTGCTACTGTGGTAAATGGGCCTGGCCTTTATAAAAGCCCACGTTGAAGACTGCGGTGAAATGCGTGCGTTGCTTCTGGACTGGCTGGGCGCAGCAACACGAAAGAGCTTGAAGCAGTTCCTTTGAACTGCCAGCCGGTTCCTGTCCTTGGCCGTATGGTCTCAAAGCTCCTCGAAGCCGAGATTCTCTTCCTGTGCTGGATGTGTATAAAGGGACAGCAGCTGCGAGTAGGGCAGGAGCGTCTCGCACATGCAGAAAGGCCTTTTCGTGGAGAACTGGTGGCGAAGTCGCCTGGGATTCGCTCGGTATGGCCTCGATTCGATGCTGCAGTTTCTTGTTCTCTAACAACCTTGGGCTGACTGCTTCATATGCCATCTCTGCCTTCGCGCACTTCTCTCGCATGCAGCTGTGTGCATCCTTGAGATCATGGACGCGACCTTGGAAAGGACACAGACCCGGGCTGCTGCAGTTTTAATTGCTTTAACTTCAACATGTTTCAACAGCGAACCCAAACTGCGCCCAAAATTCCTCGCTCGCAGCCAGTTACAAGGTCTGACTCTCTACTCACATGCCGTGTGCTAACCACCGTCCAAGCTTTCTGCTCGCACGTCGCTTTCGAAAGCAAGGTGATTTTCGCGATGCTCCCCACGAACTGCCCCTTTGAAGCTGGTAAACCGTCCGCAGAAAGGCTCGTGAATAAACGGCCATCGCAACCAAATCGGAACTATGTATGCAGAATCAACATCAACCTCACCGCGAAGAGCGGGGACACTTTCGTTGTGTCAACCCTTGGGCTTGCCAAAAACAGTAGTGTCATGCCGCTGCAAGGACTCAATATTAACCGGCTGCATTCTGAGGTGGCACAAGAAAATGTGGCCATGCAAACACAAGGTGCGAGGGGGGAATCCGATCTGATTAGCTTGAGCCCGAGCCTGTCACACCTCGATCTCGATAGCTGGCCAAAACCTGAGTCACCGCTTACTTGGCCATGGCAAGAAGAGTCCTTCGTTGCGGCAGGCCGTCAAGTTTACGGCCGCTGGTGCCCCCCCGAGGCTGGAACGAAGTCCAAGTCAGTGGCATTGCATCGCAGGTGCACGTTTGAGCAACCCACGGCTTCAATCATGCGAGCGAAGGCCTTGAGATTGGAACTGGCGGAGACACGGCCCTGCACAGAAAAACTGGGGCACGGGCCCACATGCAAATGCACCAGCTGTCACCACCGTTGGCTCGAATCACACCTGGCATTACAAAGCTGCATGATGCTATGGCCTTGTGCGAGCGCGTAGCGTTTGCCGGCCGAAGATGAGTTGCTGCTCCGTTTTCGCTTCGTCGATGAAAGGGCACTCGAAGCAATCATGTAGCTGCTGCCTCACGTTCACGCCATACTTGGCTAGGCAGCTGGCGGTTGTCCGCAATGTCCAGTAGAGGACTGCTTGCATTAACTTCGTCGAGTCGACTCGTCGAACGTGGCCCAGCTCGTGAAGCAGTAAGTTCGGCGTTCAGCACGTTCTCCGGATCCCAGCTTGACTCAGCTTCTAGTCTTGCAAGAGGAGACGCTGCCGCAGCTCCTGCTGACAGAAACATCTAACGGCGACGGGGGCATGAAGATTCTCTGCAAAACCGATTCCTGCTTTCCGAGGAGGCATGTCCGAAGGGCATGTAAAGAAGACACTCAGACTCCAGCCCACCTAGACCTGCAACCTAAAAGGCCTAAGCCGTATGAGTGTCTGCTACAGTACGCGATCAGTGCCTCCCTCTGAAACCGACTTTGTTTTCCAAGCAAGCTGCCACTATGCCCAACGAAAACTGCGGATCGTTTGGTGCTGGAGCCCACTTTGTAAGAATCTTATCAAGCAGGCATCTCCTGCCGATGTCTGCGGAACTGCTGCACTGCAATGCCGTGGGGCATTGTTCCCATGAGGCGCTGCTTTTCTTGCCAACCTGCACCAATTGTGCAAGCCCCCGAGCGATGCCTGCATATGCCTGCATGCTTGCAGCCAAGACACCCACTCGCCAAAGGTCGCCAAGGGTAGGCGTCGAAGGATCTGCCAAGTTGCTGTCCGGTGGTACAGCAGCTGCCGTGTAGTCGGGCTTTGCCACCTAGGACAGGTGGTTGACCCGGTCACAAGCATAAGGTCACGTTTCTGATACGACCGGATCCCACTTGCACGTCACAAGCACCCTGGGTTCTGCAGAGTAGGCCTTACCGGAGCAGAGGGAGGGTGGCGAAGGTCTTTGCTGGTCTTCGCACCCATGACTGTCACGAGACTTGAAGCCGTCTCACGAAATGTTTTGCTGGCAGAAGGACCGACATCCATCTGCCATCTGCGAGCTGAGGGAGGGCAGCAACCAAGCTCTCTCCCTAATCAATGCCCGGCATGCAGAAACGATCCAGGGAACGGTTTCAGCTCCTCATTCTGCACTTTGCCGGTCGAGTCACGAAAGTGACGGAAAGCCGTCGAGAATCTGCTGCCAGGGCAGGCCGCGGATTCGAGACACGATGCATGACCCCGCGACATCGTCCTCCCGAACAAGGAGCGGCCATTATGGGCTGAGCAGATTTCACAAGATCCCGCACCTGTCCTGCAGTCAAATACTCGATCAAGGTTCCCGGCATTACCGTTAAGGCATCTTCTCTTGCAGGCACACATGCCCACGAACCAGACGGCAAGCGAACCTCCACAACACAAAGACACAGAGGAGGGACCCAAAGGCTGAGCGCTCATTACATGATATTACATCGAACCTCGAGGGCACCGCTCTGGCCGCACTTGGCCACACCAGAGTCTGTGCCGGGAGACCTCCATCAGTCACATGCCCATCAGCCTACATGGGCCTGAATTGCAAGGTACCTCGCCAGAACCGTGAAGGTGCCGAAATCCTGATGTGCCTTTGCCCGCAGCTGGTACTCCGACCTGAGGCCGCGTGTGCTACGCCTGGCGTGAAGGCACCTGTCCGGTCAAAGTGGCAAGTCCGGTGGTCGCAAGCGTCGAGGCAACAACGATGGATAGTTGCACACCTCAACCAGGCATACACATCTTCACCTACTACGCTGTCTGAGAACTCGCTGCCGCCTGGCTGCCTGCAGCATGCTGGAGTGACGCACGTGCCGCTGCGAGTCATACCAAAGGTTTTGGAGTGAAGTTGGCTGCACCCCAGAGGCTGCTGCTAGAAGCCTTTCAAAGAAGCATGCTTGTGTCCGGGGACTGCAGTTGACAACGCTCTGGAAAGAGGAAAGCTTTGCCATGGACGGAAGCCGTCACCAAGCTACAGCAGCAGAGCTTCGGAGAGTTGTTCGAAGGCAGTGTAAGCTTCCAACATTGCAGGCTTCAGCCTTTCGCAGCTCGAGGGCCAGACATTGGCGGGGAAGAACACCTTTCCTAAGAACATGCTGATTTTCTGGACCATCTGCTGTCTGCTGCCCTCCCCAAGCTAGTCACAGGCCCAAGCCGCCATATGCAGAGCGGTAGTAGTCATCCAACTTCCACTTTGCAGACTTGGCCTGTCGCCCGTCACAAGTAGCCTGCAAGCCCGGACCGACAAGGCGTCTGCATAGTCAGCGGCACAGCCCGGCAGCAGCATTTTTGCAATGCAAACACACGATCCTGCTCCTAGACGACACCTTGCATCTGCCCTCGTAAGGCTCGCAATGGCATGTACAAGTCAACTAAGTTACTAATGCCTTGTGCAGAAGGCAGTTCTGCGAATCCACGTGCTGCTTGGCTGCATGGTTTCCACCGAGACTTCGCCACAAAACGCTTAGACCTTGTGCGAGCCTCACAAATTTCTGGCGGTCCGCAGCAGAACCGCTCGCAGACGATGCCTTCCCAGAGCGATTCAGTTCAGTGTCCAGCTGCAGCTGGAAAAAACGTATGTATGCACCTTGCACAGCAGATGGCTCGGCATGTGCATCTGGAGGCACCGAGGTGGTTTGCCATTGTTCTAGAAACCTCTGGTGATGCGGGTAGATCTCATAGCCGCCTGTGGTCCAGCGCTTGAAAAGACTGCGAATACTGCCAGAACTGCAGATCGCCAAGAAGCGGTTTCTCTCCATGTTGTAAACCTTGCGACAATGTCTTGAGATGGGCAGCTCTAGTCTCTGTCGGCTCCGAACTGAGGCACAGACGGCACAGCTCTGCTTCATCTCCAATGGCTGGTCGAAGAAGGCCATGGACTCCGCACGGACTTCCTTGACGACATCCAAAGGCACTCCGTGACCTTTCTATGCCATGTCGTACAGACACACTACAGACAAGACAGGGCACTCTTGCTCTTGGTTTCGCGAAGATGGGCCGAGCAGAGCAGAGCCGCAGAAGCAGGCTATGATAGGAAATGCCCGGCCTGTGGCTGAAAAGAGCCCATGCGACGTCAAAGCCGCGCGCACTGCGGCCACGATTTTAGCAGGTGGTTCTGGGTCATCACCTGCACAAGCAATTTCTGCCCAGCCAGGCCCTCGCGATTCCCACACCACACGAGTGCCTGCGCTGAACCAGCTGCAACCATCCAGGTCTACAGCAGGAACATCATCTTTCCGCCTAGGCTGGCTCCGATGCTTATACGGGCATCCAGGATCTGGGAGAAGCCTTCTAAAGGAAGCCACCCGAGCGCTGGCACTTTCGATTTCCGCTTGCCGCCCCAAAATCGGAACACCTAACTTGGGTCGGACAAGAGCTGGGAAAAGGCTGCACGATGCTCGACTCTTGGGTGGCCACACATGTCGCCGCAGTCAGCTGGAGTGCCCGGTGGCTCTTCAGAACACGACAACCTCCCAGTGCTTGCGACGAGTCTTATGCTTGCACATTCGAGCTCATTGCCCCCTGGCCGGGCCTGGCCTGGTTGCTTTCGATGTATGTGTCCAGGCATCCTGCTCTACAGTACTAAAGTGCGAAGTGTGTCTGCATGTTGGCTGGGCACTGCGTCGGTCCTTTGATGGATGCCGCGCCATGCGTCTGCCGAAGAGACCGGCAGTCCACTGGAAGGTGGTATGCCGATCACGTTCATCGAAGCCAGGCTCACCATGGCTCAGATGTGCAGCACTTCGAGGAGGTGACATCCCTTTACTCTTGAACCCGAGCACGTATCGCTTGACTGCCGGACTACATAGTACGTGAGCAGTGATGTGGGGAAGCTGCGTGACCATCAAGGATGTGGTGTTCAGAGATACTGTCAGCCCGAGGCAGCACAAGCATTTTGTGGCATTCAGTAGCTACTAGATTGTGTATTCAAGCCTGGCTTCATAGGATACACGACTTTTTCAATGGAGCATTCATGAGCATTCTACGTATCGACCGTTACTACACGAAGCCAGCTGACCGGTCCCAAGCGAGGTGGGAGCGCTGTCCCACTGAAATCGCTTCTGGTTCGTGATTTCCCAGAAGTCACCTTGACCTCAGAGCATGCCCACACTTATCTGAGATTTCAAAAATTACAGCCGTAAGCGGAATCCACTGAGTTTACTTCCCCAAACCAACGGCTTGCCATCGCCATCCAACAGCTTGGCACACACCTGGCCGCTCGATTGCAAAGCACGGCCGGTGGGCAATGTATGTACGCCGGGGCCACGACGCGATGTGTCCCGTCGTGGTTGCATTTGTGGTCTCCTTCACTTTGTCCGTTCAGCAGTCTGAGCTTTTTGCCCCTGTCGCCCAGGGCACGAGTCCGTAACGAGGGCCCTCGCCAGGACAAACTTCCACGCTTCCAGCAAGCGCCTTGGAAGCCCAAGTATAAGTGCAGGAAGCGTTGGTGAATGGCTGTGCAAGGGCACTGTCCGGACGATGCAGATTGCAAACTGTCTCCGATCCAACTGTACTCGCAGGTATTGACCGACTCGGGTCAGTGGCACCATTGGCCGCGAAGCAGGGCAAGGGGCAATCGTTCTGCCCTACATCGTGACGAACATCAACGCACTGTACACTATCTACCTCCTAACTGCCTTAGACGATGAACTCCTCCTTTGTCGGTGCCAGCGCATCCAGGTACTTGATGTCCTCGCAAGGTAGGCCATTGGGCACGGAGCAGGGAACCACAAGAAACAACAAACTTTGGACTTTGGCGGTTTGGAGTCTCTGTGGATGCAAGACAATGATCTAGCAAATCGTCCTCATCTGACAAGGCGAAGTTAAAGGATTCCAAATCACCGACTGCATGATCCTGCGCGCGCACGAAGCGGAATTTACAGTAATTTAAACTCGCAGAATTTTGTTCTCAGAGCTCTCCCCTGGGCCATCCTTTGAGCAGGAAGCCGTGACCGGCACAATGCCGTTCTGCGTCTCCCACCGCAGCTCGACCTTGCGACTGAGGCCCAGGGAGCGATGGGAGCCCTGGCACTGGCCCCGTGGCCCCGTGGCCCCGTGGCCCGGCCCAGGCCTGGGCCGTGCTCCGGTTGTAGCGCTGCGCCAGCGCCTTCAGCCGAGCATCTCCTAAGGAGATGGCAGGCACCTCACGCAATCACCAAGCAGCGCTATCGCCCGATTCGAGGAAGCATGTACTAAAAACCCAAACTCGCCAGAGTCGCGCCCGCTGAAGTTGGCCCTGCCAGGGATGCCCATGCCTGCAAAGCTGACAGCTTCCCAAACGCAGACCAGCCGCTGAGGCGGCCTGGTCCCAGTTTCCAGGTGTTCTTGCCCTTAAGGGTCCGGGTGTTGCGGGTTCTGTGCTTCCAGAAGATGAGACCTGTTGGGTCAAACGGCTGTATATGGAGCGAGACGCGACAGATTCACGTTTCGATGTCATACCGAGACGAACATGTCTGCATACGATCGAGACAACAGTTCCGCAAGTGTGCGAAACTTCGTCATTGATGAATTGGACAAACGATCACAGCGCCACAGGCGGCGAAAAACAAACATCCCGCCACCTCTATGGTTGTGCCAAGTTTGCGCATGGCCAGGCGAAGCGTTTCGTTGTGGTAGGCAAGATGCCACTGAACCTCCAATGTAAAGACAGTGCACACTGAGCTGGCAGGAACATGCAGAAAAATGACACAAAAACCGAGTATGATGAATGCCTGGCCTGATTCACTGCAGGTGCCTCCTTGAACTCAGCAACCACTTCTGCGACTTGTTCTGCATTGTAGTTGCTGACTCCGATCCTAGTCACAACTGCGGGAACGAGCTACTGGTAGTGCACATAGAAATCAGAGCTACCGAACATGTCAATTTCTGAGGACTGCTCGCACGCACTTTCCCCATCGCACGAAGGTCGCTGAGGCCACGCCAGGTGTCCAAACGTTCCTGCTGGTGCTGCTCCCCGCACTTGTTCGGGAAGTCAGACATGTTCTTGGACGCAGCAGCAAGCAATTCCGTCATAACGGACTCGAATCACACCCTCCTGCGGCGCTGCTGCCGTTCGCAAATACGTGTCATGCTTAGCCCAGGTGCTACGCATGGAAAATGGATCAGCACCAAGTCGATGTAATCAACGCCCAACCTGGACCCGCTTTTGATCGTTGCCATCTTTACAATCCTCTCGTGCTGCTGCATTCTGCTACATCTGTCACAACCGTAAGAGCTACCATATTCGGTCAAATGTCTTCTGCAGGGTTTGGTTCATCACCATATCCTTGACAGCTCCACGGCCAATAGGACCAGGAATTTTGGTCGTGAGGAAAATCTCCTGACCAGTCTGTGAAGAACCCGACTGCATGTCTTGGCTCTGGAGCTGAAAAAGTGTGAAACTAGCCGGCCGTCCTTTCGCTCAACACCGGAAGCCTTGATCGCCGCTCCCACGTCAGGCTCTGTGCCATAATCGTGGGCAGTATCGATATGGCGCCTCAGTAATCGTGCAGGGCATTCCGGTCTGCACTCCTGCCCATCAATGCTGTATACATCGTCACACTGGGGTCTCGACCCTCCGAGCTGGAGCCACTGCTGAATGCCCTCTTGCACACTACAGTTCGTGAGTGACCCACGATAGCTTCCGAAGGCGATCATGGGCATGTAAACCTGTTTTTGAGTTGGCCGCAAAAATACCAGGGTATGCGTGCCATGTGTTGCGTGCAAGTAGTGCCGACACGCAACACCAGCAGCGACTTCCACAGTTGGGACCGTGGCGGTCGCCACAGGCCCGAGAAACACCAATCCCGCGAGAAGTCGCGCCATGGCAACAGCCGACAGTCCAATGATCACTCGAAGCGTTAACCAAAACTGCAGATTTATTGCAACGTAGATGTGCGTGGCCCGTGAACGGGAAATTGCATTCACCCGATCACCCCTTGGCACGGGACCAGCTGGAAGAACTTCACAATGTGAAGCAGCGATGCTAATGTCCTGGGGCGTCTTCATGCTAAGCATCTTCCAACCTGCCCTTTCTACCACTGAGATTGAACTCGACAAGGTGAGGTCTGCGCCAAGTTTTCATCATTGCACACGTGTGCTGGAAGTGTCGGACTGAAATTGCAGCGGTCCATCAGTCAGTTTCGCTTCGCTCCTTGAGTCGAGATCTTCCACACTATCTCCATCTTGCACACGCCTTATTCCGACAGCGGCGCGAAAAACGAAAAGGAACAGGGGCAGGAGGCTGCGACGTTCGCAGCATGTCGCTGCATCAGGCTTGCGAAGGGGAGCGCCTTCCTCAGCGAAGGGGAAGTGGAGGGGGGTCGATCAACCTGGCTTGGGGAGAAAGTTTCAAGCCCTCTGACGAGGAGCAGTTTGCTTGGAAACACTGTGTTTCAATAAATGCTGCCGTGTGCGACGTCATGTCCTCGGGTAAACGGCCGTTTGGTTAGGCAGCCAAAAATGTAAAAAAACAAAAAAATGGAAATGCCGCATCCCTTTGCGGAGGCCACTGTGGGAGGTATGGCCTACGGCCTACGCTTGGGAGGTTCCACGACGACAGCTTCGATTGAGGCGTCTATGCATATGAACTGTTGAAAAACGAAGGTAAACAAGTAAACGGTTGCCTGAAATTAAATGCCACATCACAAACCTGTGATATTTATGAACTCATGGATACCCCAAGAGAAAAGTTGGGTATGATGTGAGGTTGGAACCGCCAAGCATTCGACCGCTGTGGATAAGGCTTCGGATACGGCAAGTGGTGCAGTTTGTACAGTATGTCATGGCTTCGTTTCCCCCCCCCCCCTAGACCCCCCCCCCCCCCAAGAAAGCTTTAGCAAGTGCTTGCCAAGGCCTCGGCAGGACATGTGTCACAGTAGCACCTCGGTAAGGCCTCTATCTTGGTTGCGTAACCTTCACAGGAAGCCTCCGATGGCCCTGATCGGCCACGGGGGTTCTGACATGGCCTGAGGCCTTGCTGAGGCCTTGCTGAGGCCTTGCTAAGGCCTTGCTGTTGCTGAGGCGTTGCATGCTGTTGGCCTGCCCGGCCCAGAGTTTGCCGAGCAAGATTCGTATGTGGGAAATGCCATTTCTCACTAGACGCTCGGAGGTGTCGCTAGAAGGGGGGGGGGGGTCTAGGGGGGGGGGGGGAAACGAAGCCATGAGTATGGTGCAAAATTTTATGGCAACTACTTGCCACGGGTAGTGTTGTCAACAACACAAGCCAAGCCGAGGCTCAACACATCCAACACGATCGGTGTGGCTGTCGCAGCTGGGCCAGGAAGTTTTTCCCCGGAAAAGAATTCCGCGCGAAGTCGTGTGACTGGGTCTTGCGGCCCATTGTGATGAATTCGCCTTCCTACAGATACAAAACTGATACAAACATTTCTTCGCGCCTCCCTTTCGCTTCCATTCCTGATGCAAGGCTTTGGCCCACGATTCGTTATGACACCAAGCAACAGCAGGTGCATGCCATGCCGCACTGCACAAGGCGGGGGCGCTGTCAGGCAACGCTAGCCGCCAGCTTCAGAAGGCTCCGGCAATTGCACCCGAGTCGCATCTTGCTAACCTGTCCCCTGCATCACGCGCACTGCTGCTGTCGCAGGATGGGCCATTTACAATTCGTGCGATCACCGTACTGCCGACGCGGTGTGACCTCGCCATCCCCAGCGCCCTATTTCGGGTGTTGCTCCTCCGACACGTGCTGCCCCTGCCGCTCGCGCCACGTCACTGCCGCTGCCGCGG